GTGATATATTTTTGTTTTTCTGTATCTGGCAACTTTGATGCATAGTTATTTTGTTTATGTTTGAAGTGGCTTCGTGCCTGTATTTGTGTTAGGAAATATATAATGAAACAATTGAAATCTCTGAGAAAGAATTTTTGTGAAGGAATATAGAATGTGTCATTTAAGGGAATTGATACTTGACTCACTTGGTTTATTCGAAACAGAATGGAAAGAACAGTTGTTGAGAATCATCGACACCAAAAGTGCTCAAGCAGCTCCCCCTGTCATTCGTGTTAGAGAAACCATTTATGTATTGACTGTCTGTGTTAATATGTATATGTTTGTGTTGTGTCCAAATAAATGTTTATGAAAGTAACAATTTGTTCCGTCAATTAGGAAAATGGTTAGTTTCTTGGCAGAAAATTGATGCATCAGCGTGGAATAGAGACCCATGGTTTGTTCGAATGAAATTTTTTTTTGCAGCATGAATAAAAGAATGGCGGCATGTGGGGTAGGTTGTTTTGGTTTGAAACTTATCCAGTTCGTATTGTGTTGAAAGTCGTTAGAATTTATTGAATTGAATTAGTTTCGGTTTGGAAATTTAGTTGTTTCATGTTGTGTCGAATTAGGGTTTATGCATAGTAAATTGTTGGAATGGTAAAATTGTATTGTTTATGTTTGGTTTTTATACTTTGGTTTTGAATAAGTTCTAGTTTGAATAAGGTGCGTTTGTGTTTTCTGGACCACATATGCTTTAAAAATTGTTTGATTTGCTCTGTGCTTATTAATATCGGTAAAAGAATAAAAAATTAGTAATGGCTGAAAAGAAAGAGTTGCAGAAGTTGAAAAGATAAGCAAAAAAGATAAAGATAAGTTGAAAAAACAACGTATCTCACATAGAAGACAGGTTACCAAACTAATTACAAGAAAAAAACTCGTTTAGACGAACAGGGAGTTGAAATAGATGAGCTCGAAAGTCTTTTGGTACAATTACAAAGCAAAGACGAACAAATTAAATCTATTGATAGTAAAATCGAAAATCTTTTCAAGAATAATATTTCAAGAGTTCCAATTCATGTTCCTGATCAAAAGGTTTGTGCTAAAATGAAGCTAGGAGACTTGAGTTGGCGTGTAATACTAATGAGTTGTCTAGTGATTGTCGGATGTCATTGTTAGTTGGATCGGATTATTATTGTGATTTGACTAAGCGAATTCAAAGGTTAAACTCATCATTAGTTGCTCTTGAAACAGTTTTTAGATGGTCCCTTCAAGGTAGATGAGAGGATTCAGTTGAGTTCGCATTGGTTAATTTCGTTTTTATTGAGAGGGGATACAATCTCTTCGGAACTTAAACGCTTTTGGGAATCGGAAAGTTTGGGAATTAGAGGTGACAAAATAGAGACTTTAGGTATGAAATTACAATTTAGGTATGAAAGCGTAAGATCTTTTGAGAGAATTTAATAATTCGATTCAGTTTGCTGAAAATGGATATTGTGTTAAGTTACCGTGAATAGAAAGGATGCAAGAAAAGACAGCGAACAATAGGGATGTGGCATTAAAACGTTTTAATACTTCAGTCAAGAGTTTTAAGAAAAATCCTTTTTTGTATAAGGAGTATCGGGAGGTTGTAGACGGATATCTTAAAGAGGGAATAGTTGAATTGTCAGATGATTTAATTGATGGATCAACTTTTTATTTGCCCCACTATGCAGTCATTCGTGAAGATAACCCAAATGGTCGCCTCAGAATAGTGCTTGATAGCACAGCTCATGCAGAGGGAGAATACTAACTAAATGATTGTCTTCATACTGGAATGAACTTGTATCCTATCTTGTTTGAAACTTTGTTGCGATTTAGAAAAAATGCTATAACATATATAGCTGATATTAAACAGGCATATTTATAAATCTTGATAGACCCAGATGATCGACGATTTACAAAATTTTTCTGGATTGATCTCAATTGAAACACGCTTTATGTACTAAACTTCTTTTGTTATTTGGACTTGTACCAAGTCCTTACTTGCTTGCAGCAACTCTTGAGTACCATTTTGAAAGGTATCGAAATTTGCTCCCAGAAACTTGTGAAATGTTAAAAAACTCTTTGTGGTCGATGATCTCGTTGGAGGAACTGATGACTTAGAAACAGCTCGTAAAATCAGCACCGAAAGTGTAGAAATAGTGAAGAAAGCTGGAATGATGCTTTGAAAATGGCAAACTAACTCAATACCACTCCGTACAAAAGATCAGACATAGAAACTGACGACTCAAATAGCATTAGTGGAAGTGGTGTACCAAGTTAAGTTCTAGGACTAGCAAAGAATCCAGATAAAGATTTAATATTTTTTGACGTCAGCAAGTTGAAAGACATTGTTGCCAAATGTAGAAGTACCAAGCTATTTGTTTTACGCCTGTTACTGGGTTACATATTCGACCCCATCGGCTTTGTTGGTACCTTTATTAGGAAACTCAAAATTCTGATCCAAGAATTGTGGGCTGCTAATATACACTGGGATAGTGAACTTCAACCTTTACTGGACTACAAATGGCAGTTATGGTGCTGTGAAATTGAACATTTGAATGAGATATTCATTACTAGACATTATTTTTCAGGATTATCTTAAATGTGAGGCCAATGACTACGAAATATTGCTAAAAATAGAGTCAATGAAAATCAAAATTTAACTAAACAAACACAATGGCTTCATTCCTCTGGAAAGGATAACCCTGCAGATATCCTTTCAAGGGGTACTTCTGCTTCGGACTTAGTCAAAGACTCGTTGTGGTGGTATGGACTACCCTGGCTGAGTTAATCTAGTGTATTTTAGCCTTGTAAAATTGAAAAGGAAGAACCCATTGGAGATTTAGAAATTGGAAAAGTATGTGAAATAATCTCTCAATGTAAATGTAAAGTGTTTGATTCCGAATTTGTCTTAGATTTAAATAAATATAGTAATTTAAATAAATATAGTAATTTAAATAAATATAGTAATTTAAATTGAGTGTTAAAAATTACCGTACTGGTTAAAAGAATCAACAACAAACTCAAAAAATTACCAGTTTAGTTGGGATCTTACACTGCAACTGAGCTCTCAGAAGTTGAGTCGGATTGGATAACGTATGAGCAAAGTTATGTCTACTTACATATATCTAAAAAATCATCTCTTTATTATTTCGCCCCATTTTTAGATAAAAATAATGTTTTGCGGGTAAGGGGAAAGTTAGAAGAAAATGAATTGGCAGATAACGAGATTCATCCAATTCTTTTACCTTTAAGGTAAAAATGTTCTGAATTACTAATTTCTAGAGAACATAAAAAGATTTATCACGGTGAGGTGTCGGCTGCTTTCTCAAAAATTCGAAGTGCATTTTGGTTTCCAAAGGGTAGACAAACTGTGAAAAAGTTTTAAAACTTTGTCTCATATGTGAAAGATATTCTTTGAAACCTGCTGAGCAAATTACAACAGAATTACCAAAGAAAAGATAGCGAACAATAGGGAGGAGGNTTTCACTGATCCAGTTAGTATTCGTTCGGGGAAAGATACTAATTAAAAATCTTATATAAGCTTGTTTACATGTGTTGTTACAAAGGCTCTTCTTATTTAGTTGGCTACTGATATGACAGTAAAAATTTTATTTTGTCCTTAAGGCGATTTTTGGCAAGAAAGAGAAATTGTGAGGGCATAATTTCGTTTGACGCTAAGAGTTTCAAAAATACAGAAAACATTTTGAATGGTTTTTCTGAAATTTTGGATGATTCAGAGTTAAAAAAATTTTGTGGCTTGTCACGATGTAGCATGGCAGTATATCCCCCTCATGCTCCCTGGTGGGGAGGATTTTATAAAAGACTCATAAAAAGTATATATAAGAACCTTTAAGAAAAATTCTCGGTAAAACTTTTCTTAGCTTTGAAGAAATGGCGACCATTCTAGCAGAAATTGAATTTGTAATGAACCATAGACCTCTTACATATAGAACCACTACCTCTTAGTTATTTCAATCTATTACGACATAAAAAATATATGGGGAATAATTTTAAACTGAGTGCTTGTTTAAGTGATTCATATTACCTGGTTCACTATTCTAATTAAAGACTGTAGATTAGTTAGATTAGTGATTTTGAGTGAAAGAAATTTAACTTTTGTTTTAATTTTTTTAAGAGACTGACAGTAAGAAATGGAGACTTATTCTAAGCTTTATAAAGACAGGTTTTCGAAGGTTTCTAGCTGATGGTTATTTATAGTGTTCTCTTAAATTTTTTTCTTTCACTAAAAAAAATGAAAAAATAAAAATCAGTGACTGTCACTTAGATTCTTTATGCACTGCAATAGAGTTTGATGTTGGGAAAAACCTTGCATGGTTTTAATTTGGCCATTGTAATGACCTTTACAATTAAATGATGCATTGATTATATTTGTTTTTCGTACATTTTGTGACCTCAGTAACAAAGCCTTTAATGATTTCATTTTTAAAATGTTGTTTAGAACGTACATTAAAATAACGTTTAAAGAGTATCTTAGATTTTCATTTATTTGTTACAATTGCAAAAATCATATGACAATAAAAAGAAAGTAGGTAAATAGTTTTAGATGCATATTAAGCGTAATGGAAAATACTTCTCAAAAAATCAATTAAGATTCATCAGTATTTTTTAATTGAAATCACAGACACTTTGAAATATATTTATTTTACTCCTACAAAGTATAACTATTGTTGCTTCAGTAAGTTTTGCTTAAACTTTGCATCTTTTCCTTTACATAAATAAATATAATCTAAAATGATAAATGGAAGTTACATTATTAGCTTTGAATTTCTGCACGAAAGAAAAGAAGAATCTCTAAACATGAGTTTTATCTTTATCTTTAAAATAAATGATTTGAATACAATAGAATATGCAACTCATGGAAATGATTCCAAGCGAGTAATTTATATTTTATTTATATTTTGACATTGAACAGTGGAGCGAATTTGTTGAGATGGTGCCAAATGACTTAACATCATGCCAAAAAGAAAGTTTCTGCATTGCTTTTTTCTTACAATACTGAAAGCATCCCAGACCGCGATATGAAGCTTCTCTCAGTTCAAGCACAGATTTCTATAAATATCTATTTCTTTCCCGTTCTTCTGCCTGAAAGTGTGTCACAGCGAAAAGATCTTTGGTGGATACAAAAAGTTTGAGTGAGTACTGTTTCATAGTTTACGATTGGATTCGATGTTATTAAGACGTTGAAATAGGTTTTTTTATTATTACGATTGGTTCCACAGTAGAAAAAATAACTCTAAAACGAAACATATTTCCTATCTAACTGGAACAAAAGGAACAAGCAAATTTTAAAAAATGTCAAATATTAAAACAATTCTTTCAGACAGTTTATAATTACAATTGTAAACTATTTTAATGAAAAATTTTCCTTGTTATTTAATTCAATATACCATTTTTATTTCCCTTTGACAGATATTAAAATCGAAATTAATATTCAATTCCCTAAAATACATTGATATTAAAAAATCTTAACAAAATCTTATAAAAAATTTATATTATACTAAAAGAAATTTTTGTTTAATTCGTGCTAATTAATATTAACCTTGTAAACACAAATAGTTCTATTTACTAGGCAATTATAAGAATGCGAGTAGAATATTTAACTATGAAAGCATTCTAGATTCATTTAGATAAGATAAAAATTCCTAATTTATTTAAGTATTAACTTTTAATTTATTTATTTAACAAAATAATGATACATAAATATAACCCCGTTTAAAATAAATTATTATAATAAAGGTTATCTGTAGATTTTAAAAATCAGTAAAAACCTAAATTTATAATGTGAAAATAGTTAATTTTTTAAAAAAACTATGTGAGAAGAATTATAAAATTGTACTGTATTAAATGTTATAAAGCCCTCAATGGTAAAAAAAAAAGAAAACATAAACCCCATTTAAAAATAAATAATTTTAATGAAAGTTATTTATTTTTTAAAAATTGTAAAAACTCAAATAATAGGAAAGTAATGAATGTTTTAAAAAGTATGAGTGAAAAACTTTACCATTTGCTGTACTTTACTAAACTTTATATGGTCTACTAAGGTCTCTATGGATGTCAATATACTGCAATATTCTTTTATGTCATAGAATTTATTATTTCAGAAAATTAATCTTATACTTAAAGCATAGTAATATTTGAGATAATAGCTCCAAACTAATTCAATTCAGTTCAATTAAATTCAATTAATAATTTAATGTAGTAATTTTTCAAATAAATATGTTAATTAATTAATAAAATTAGGCGTTTGAGTATAGATAAAAAATTTATGAAAACACTCGTAGGTGTCCGGTTATATCTAAGATATTTTCAACGTCAAATTATAGTTTATTATATTATATGTTTATTATAATGTTTATTTTATGATATCAATGTGGGCAAGTTGACAGAGACAATTTTGGAGGGATGCTTTTTAAAAAATGTTTCAGATGTTTTTTTATAGTTTTTAACTGTAAAATAGGCTTAAGGGATATTTCTGATAATTTAAGGGATATTTCTAGTCATCTAGTCATAATAGTCATCTAGTCCTGAATTTTTAATTTCATTTTTCTCTCTGATGATGTTTTTTAAAATAATTTTTGCGCAGTAACTTCATCAGTCATATTTATTTTATCTTGGTTACATCTGAAAAGGGTGTTGAAAAAAAAGAGATGCATTTAAAGATGTATTGTTGATGACGATTGTATGATGATACAATTTTTTATATATATTGCGTGACTGTAAAGTCATACAAATTTGTACAAATAAATATATATGTTTCATTAAAATAAAAAATAAAAAGTAATTTCTCTCTCTCTCTTTCTCTAACCCAAAAATTTGATAGATAATATGATCATTATTAAAATACTATATTAAAAATTAAAATGTAAAAATTAGTTTGAAGTTTACGGAAAGAAACTATACGCAAAGATTAATTTAATTATTAGGAGTATGTCTTAAGGAGCTCTAAAAATGTTCTCAATTCCAATAATTTCACGTATCGTACTATGGTATATTAATTATGTACAAATAAAATTTTTTTCAGCAGCGATTTTTAAAATAATTCTCTCAGAAGGAAACACTTAATCAGTTTTTCTTATAATTTCAACATAAAAAAAATAATTATTTGAGAAATTACTATTTATTGATGCATTAAATATGATAATATACCATCATAGACATGCTATAACATTAAAAAAATTTTTTTTGCTCATTTAAGAGATTGTTTTTGCTTGAATAAAAAAATATATCGACTTTTGTGTTTATTGTACTGGGGAAAAATTGTCAAATTTTTCGGGGCACCCCTGAGGACATGATGATACCCACTTTCAACTAAGTTTTTTCTGTTTTTTGTCTCCAGAGCAAATTGATTTTACTGTATTAAGTTAGCCGTGATTTAACCGAATGAGATTATCCAGGAAATGAATGTCATTCAGTTCATTAGGTTTTTTCGCTGCTCCATAGATGGCAGGAAGGTAAATGATGGCGGAAAAATGAACATTAATTATTTTTAATATGTGTCTAAAGCATCATTGTTCTCTGACTATAAATTGAGGAATTTGTTCGAAACTCTAGCTGTCTGTTTTGGCGTATTACATTAGTAAAATTATGATATCTTACAAAGAGAGCTCTTAAATTTTGGGTAAGTTATTTTTTGGGTGACTTTTGTTACGTGTAAAATGCTTTTATTAGCTAAAATTTATTAGAAGATCATACAGTGAGTTATTATTTTCTTAACGAATTGCATGATAGTTTTTGTCATAAGCATTTAGCAATTAATAATTTTCATTTATAATTTTTCATCAATTGTATTTGCATTCATTTGGTTCCGTGAATGATTGCGCATTATGAACAAAACGTTCAAAATGTTTTTTATTTTTTACTATATTTTATTGTAATTGTTATTTATTGGTAATTTTATAAGAGTTAGCACCATTAAAAATAACTGAGTTACATTTATAGAGGATTGAAATGAGGAAAAAATCATAGCTGATTAACAGCTAATAGCTAATTACTAACCACATAATTTTATTGCTTCAAGTATTTGAGAAAAGTTACTTTGAAATTGTGAAAGTTTACGAACGCTATTTCTCTCAAACTAATAAAAAGAAGCTTTTATTCCCCACTTTTATAAAACGTGTTGTGCTTACCTATATTCTATTACATAATTAAAAAAAATATAGTAAATAAATGAAAAATAGGACATCTGAAAGAACTAAAATTCAAGATGGCTATTAATCCACATATTCTATATTTATCTTCCTTTCTCGAAAGCGAGAGAATAATTTCAAAAATTTAGAAAAGGATACAGTTGTCAAACCATCCATATTTCTATTATTTTATATATATATACAATATATATNTATATATATATATATATAGTTTGAAGCCTCTACTTTCTCTAAGGAGAACTGAATATGTAGTCTGGCACCACAAAATCTGTTATAAAAATAGTTCTTAAAAATTAAACATGTTACATATTACTGTTTATAAACATTTTAATTATGTAATTACGTAAATAAAAACTTCTATGCGTTTTAAATTTTGTAACTCACTTCTGCATCTGTAAAACTTGGGAAATAAATAAATAAATAAATTTCTTAACACAAATTTTAGTCAGTAAAATAACAACTCCCAAATATTTATGGCTGTAGTAGCTGGTTAATTTTTAAAATGCTTACTTTTTGTTTTGTTTGACAACAGTTCTAATGTAGAATATTATGTCATAAATTACTATGCTAACTATTACGTTAATTAATGTTAAACATATCATGAGCTAAACTTCGGACCCATTGCATTTTGCCTAACCCGTTTTCGAATTTTCTTACTTATGCAGCCCCCTAAATGCAACGCACATGCGAGTTAATTTCACACAAAAGTTCTCATTGAAATCAAAGAATTCTCTTGTCTTTTGAATTTAGTTTAGAATAACAATGTACAATCGTCTGATGTAAGCATTAACCATTCTACAAAGTTAATTTCAATACAATTCAATTTTATTGATTTTTACGACAAAAATTGCTATTTAGTAAGCGATTTTTTTTTGATATTACACTATTATTTTTTTAATGTTAAGGAGCACAGAAAGTTTTTTGAAAAAAAAAAAAAAAAAAAAAGAAATTTGAGGGCATAATTTACATTATAAATAGAATTCGTAACTCAGAGTTTTTTTTAAATGTAAATATGTTAAGTAAAATTTGCAATATGTCTTACCTTTTACATTTATTTATTTCCTTTTGTAGCTGCAAAGCACTGTATCAATCATGAAAAAATAGGAATATAAAAATAAAAAAATAATAAATAGAACCAAAAGGGAAACACAGAAAAAGAAGACGAGTGATAAACAGCTGATAGAGGATAACTCTAAATAAGGTTTGATACTAATTTATTAAAAAAGTTTATTTTTGATAATGAATGAATTATGAATATTGAATTATTTTTACACATGTTTTGTTCACAGGAATAGAATGTTAGACTTCATTCCTTCGTCATGTATTCCCTACTTAGTATTACTTCTGAATTCCATTGTTATACATATTTTTCGAAAAATAATTCTGAGGTTTTCTCCTTTAATCATACAACTATTATTGGCAGAAATAGTTACCACCCTAGAGCTCTGTGCTGGCTGTGCTGAATTAGGTAAGGTATATTTAAAACTATTTATCATAAATATTACTTATTTATTTATTATATATGTATTTATTTATTACATATTATTTATTTAGTGTATTTTTAGAATTAGAAAATAACTTTTCTGCTAATTATCAATGATTATTTTATGTACATAATGTTTTTTTTCTAAAAATATTACTGAAAGAAAATTTCAAGTTTAAATTTTTTTATTTGCATACGTAATATGCTTTTAAGCTAGAAAGGTTTCAAATGTTTTACCAAATTTATTTTTCAAAAAAGTTTTTACAGAATCAAAAAAGGTACTTGAAAAAAAGTATATTATAAATTCATGTAGAGCTGTTGCTAAGTAAAGAAGAATATATATTTTGTTTTATTTACAAAATAAATGCTTTACTTTTGTAGAGCATTTATTGATGATTATTTGGATGATTGAATTGCATAAATGAATTACAAATTAAATGATTGATTAATATAAACCAATATTTAATTAGTGTTGAAATGTATAATTATTTACAAAAATGATTTTTCCTAACTTCGATTCTTCCATATGCCTTAAGAAAATCTAAAACTAGTAAGAAATTATATTTGAAGTTGGACTAGTGTATTTTTTTTAAATTTTATAACCGTCGTTGAACAGCCGATCCAATTTCATTGGTTTAGGACTACTAATGTTCAACTCTGTAACCTAGTAATTTTGAACCCTATCCAGAAGACAAGGGAACTCCTGGATCAGTACCCCCAGAGGTATTGATTTGTTATGGGAACATGGAGGACTTTGAGACNTCAGACCACTAGTTATGAATCTGACCACTAGTTTGGAATCCCACGGTTAGCTTGACTGCAAGGGTACTCTGACCCATGATCCGTCTACCACTGAGGATATTTCACGTCAGTACTGTGGTCAGTGCAAGCCGGAATATTATATCGCGTATTACATTTGTCATTCTAACTAATGTATTAAAATACGTTTTGTGATCTAATGTATTAAAATAAGTTTTGGAATATATATATATATATATTTTATCGGTTACCATTACCTATGCCATAAACCTAACATATTTCGTCGGTTATTTTTTAAAGCTGGTTCCTCAATAGCATGATATTTTAATTTAATTATTATGTTAAATGAAATATCATCACTAAATACAGCTAATAAATATTTATTTATTTCAAAGGGGTAATATATGAAATCCATGGGTACTTAGGACTCGGTTTTGCATTGCTCGCAGTCTGCCTTTGGTGGTGCGCCATTTGGGGGAATGCGGAAGCCTGCCCGAATGGACCATTGGAAGAGTGCATATTTGGAAATGGTATGAATTTAGATATTGTCAAACAGCTTACAGGACAAGTGATTGGTGGAGCTTTAACTACACTGTAAGTAAATTTTATTTTATTAATTTTTCATACTTTTTCCTGCAATTTAGGCAACTAATGTTTTAGTCATAAATCACATTTTGTTGTTGATTATTTCTAAGCTCATATTTGCAAAAAAATAATCTAATTATTCGTCCTTAATATTAAAAATTTTATGCAACACCAAAATTTGCAACAAGTGGCAAATCTAATGCCTGAAATCATTCCTTGGAGGACAAGGAAGTTATTTTTAGCATTTGCAATTAACAGCTTGTTTTTTTCCCCATTAAGATGAACCAGAGGTGTTCTAAAACCTTTGGAAAATATAGCCCAGGTCATGTTGTAATTTTGACGGATAATTCGATTAAATCTTTTTGATTTTCTTCTAGCGATATAATTTCAAAAATACCGTGAGTCTTTTTCATATATTCAATCAAAATGTTTTACACGGAAAAATTGAAATTACTTTAATACCTTACGCGTTGCAAAATTTTAAAATCGAATGTAATCTGCAAACGTTTCAATACAAGCAAATCTATCTCTCTATCTTTTATACGAATTTCTTTCTCTTACTCAAATTTCATTTACAATTAGTACCTTTAAACGTTATTGAAAGAACGTTTCGAACTACATGTTTGGTAGCACGTTTTTATTCTCGTCAGATTGCTACATATTGCATGCTTATGCTCAACAAATTTGCATAACATGTAGTTAGTAAGGTTACGTCGTTAGTAAAAAAATAAAATATTTTCAGATGGATTAATTATATCTGGTCTTTTCATATGACAGTTGAACATGAGGCTTTGCACACAGCAGCTGAATGTCAGGCCGGACTGCAGGTAAGAAAAAGAAATGCATGAATAGGTTGATTTAAAATAAAATTAAGCAACTTAGAGATATTTATTTATTTATTGCTCTATATAAATGACCGTTTTTCGAGCATGACTTATTCTTGAAAATAATCTTGCAGTTGTCGTAAGGGAGAGTCATGTTTTAATTAAAGCTATGAGATAGTTTTATTAAAAGTGGATAATTTTAAAACTTACGTTAAGGAAAAGAAATCGCCAACAGTATTTTTTTATTTTAGTCCAAACGCGAGAAATTTGTTTTTAATCTTTTATGATTACATGCATTTACAGGTGAATCAAAGAGCAGTTTTAAGGATTTACTGTACAGTATTTAATTTTGTGAGGTTAAAATCAAATCTAATTAAATAATATTATGTAAAATAGCAACAGCGAATTAATTGTAGTTTTTGCTTTGTAGGTACCAATGCTCTATGGTGCGATAATAGAAGGACTAATTACATTAATTAGCAGGACAGTAGCTCTTGAGTCCTCATATTGGATCACAGAACTGACAATAGGAGCAAATGCCGTTGTCACAACTATCCTTGTTTTAGCAGGTATTTGTCAAATTTTATTTTTTTACCCCTATAAGAAAGTGACACGGGATCACGCCATTCTCCCTTCACGACCCACAGTTTCATATGTAAAGCGAACCGTTCTGCTTCTAGCTGCCCAAGATCACGTGTACGAGATCTCAATATGGTATTCTCGTATGACATATCGTATTAGTACGTAGACGTACTCTTCCGTATGCATAAACTCGGAATTTGTGGGCATGGGGAAATCATGGCTTCTTTTTCAGTCTACTGGTCCTAAAGGGATTAATATTGGCATGCGTTTGCATGTGGGATCATACATGCAAACGTACTCTTCAGTATGCATAAACTCGGAGTTTGTGGGTATGAGGAAGCGCTTCTTTTTCAGTCTGCTGGTCCTAAAGGGATTAATATTCGCATACGTTTGTATGTGGGATCAAATACAATTTTTTGAAATAAAATCATTTCAATTATTTAAAACGACATTCGCTTTTAAAGTTCGGAAAAAGGATACGATGAATTAATATGAATAAGTCATAATATTAAAAAGAAAAACATTTTGTGAATTGACTTTGGAAATTAGGCAAGTTCTATAATATTTGATAAAATATTTAGTTTTGACATTCTTCGTTTAATGAACCAATGCTTGCTTAGGAGAAATCTTGGGAGTAATTATTATTGTGTTAAATAGATTTAGATCCCATTTTCTACGGGGAAAAATGTATCGGGAAATTTTATTTCGAAATTGCTGATTTGAAATATTAAAATTTGCTTGAGTTAGAGAGCAGAAAGTTTGTAAAGAATGTAATTTGAAACTATTTTAAGCACTGTGATCTTAAACACATGAAACTTTTTCTAAAAGTGCTTCTGAAAGATACATCATTATCGTATAGCGCTTTTGACTCTGTATTTTGCTGCATCACTTACCGAGTATAAGTAAAATGCGTGAAAATTTTTTAAAATTTATATGCCAGAAAACAATAGAAACAAATTAAAATAAAAATTTAATTTAAATAAAAGTTAGATGATGCATAAAAATGGCAAAATGCAAAAAATTAACAACCTATTTGTAGTACGATGATACATCCCATTAAAAACTTTAGATTTCCTATATTATTTCATTAAAGAGATTATAATAATTTATATTTTAAAGTTGTTTGATTAATTTAATTAATTAAGTTCTTGTATTTTTGAGAAAACTGTAAGCCATTGTTTAAAATTACAGAAGAGGGCAATGGAGTGTTTGTTGTTTGAGGAATGGCGCATTATTTTTAGTACTTGAAAATCTGCATTTATTAAACTGCCGCACTTCATCAAACGGATTTTTTCTTCCGTTTTTTTTTGTTTAAAAGTATTTATTTCTAGACTCTATTATAGATTTCTTATAGTATTCAATTTTTTGAATGATGAAAAAGTTACATATACAAAAGAGAGTTCTGTAAGTACCAAACATATAGAGATACTCTTTATAAAGATACACCCTTATTGTTTTTTGTATAAATTTTTAATGCGTCTAACAACTTCTTTGATTGATAGAGGCATATTTTTTATTTATTTTTGAATGGTAGAAAGTATGAATTCACTAAACATATTACAGGAATGGCTTTATTCGCCTGAAAGAAATTACTAAATTTGTTGAAAATCCCTACCTTAATTCATGAGCAAAAAAAAAAAAAAAAAAAAAAAAAAAAAAAAAAAAAAAAAAAAAAAAAAATAAGTAAATAAAAATAAATAAATAAATTAAGCGCAATTTAAAGCATAAATAAATTTGCAACACGACCGGTGGTGACTGCACTTTCTATCGGGTGTTAGGGCAACAATTTGACGGAACATATTGTCGGATATCGAATTGGATCGTTGTTAAGAGGTTTTATCGGAAGTTTTTTTCTTCATGAAAATCGGAATTGGTCGGAAAAAGTTAAAATGTCCTATTTTTAGCCAAAACCCACCCACTAATATACAGGGTTACTCATCATTCCCTCCGGGGTTTCGAAGCGTTATAGTAAAAAAACGAAGACGAATATGGCAAAAAAGAACATATGAAATTATTACGAAAGTATTCAAGTTTTAATTTAAGCAGTTGCCGGTAGATGGCAGTAACATGTACCACTGAAGCCAGTTGTAGTAAANGTTATACCTCATTGAGAATTATATAATTTACAAAATTATTGATCATGAAATACTGAATATGAATATACATCCATTGTATATATATATATATATATATAAAACGCAATTTAAAAAATAAAGAAATCATCTTTTTTGAAAATAAACTTTTAGAAGAGAGTTTAAAAGTAATAAAAAAAGTGTAAAAGTGTTTTTGATTTGCATCTATCTCAAATTTATTCACTTTTTTTTAGCAACCAGCACAACTGGTGGATTTTTCAATCCTGTATTGGCGACTGCACTTACTTTAGGATGTAAAGGCAACACTCTGACGGAACATATTGTGGTATATTGGATTGGATCGTTGTTAGGAGGTTTCATTGGAAGGTTTTTATATGAAAATCGACATTGGGATGAAAAAGTTAAAATGTCCTAACTTTACTAGCCGTAATCAACTCATCAAGGAATTTAGAAAAAAATGTTATACGGAGATACAAAGATAGAAATTGTGTTAAAATTTCTGCAAAACAAGTGCCAAAGAGTTTTTTAAATCTTATGCATATATTCACTCCTTATATTATATTAAAATTAATATTTTTGTCCTAAATTTTATTCAATATGCTGCAAATTTCTATTCATCTTGGAAATTCACAGAATAAATATTTTAAGAAATATAAGTTAAATATGAGATTATGTTTCATATAATGTATAATAAATCACTTTTAAATCATTTGTATTTATTTTCTAGCTGAATACTCGTTCTTCGAAAAGGTGAAAAAAAATTAGTTAATTAGTACCGCTTTATTCTTTTTTATTTCGATTTGTACCTATAACCAAGATTAATAAATCATCATTGACGTCAATAATAGTTTTTCGATTTTTTTACACTTTCTCTTATTATCATTCTGTATTAATTTAGTTTTTCATTTCATTTTTTTCAAAATTTCAATTATTGTGAATTTAAATTCATAGTTTTATAGGAATATGTTTAAGGACCATAAGCTAGCTTACTCCACTGGTATTATCTTCAAAATATTTAACAAAATTTAATCGTTTATAGTTTAATTTGAAATTCTTACCCATGATCTGTCTACCAGAGAGGATATTTTCCGTCAACACGGCTGTCAGTGTGAGCCGAGGGCATAATTTGCATCAACCAGACACCATTGGGATTCGAACTTGGGTCGTCTCATTTGAAAGCAAATGCTCTATCTTCTGAGGAACAGCAGCTCAGAGATGAGAATGTTATACTTGATGATGAAAGCTTCATTGGCTTACTATATGAAGATGGTAATAAAAGTCAACATATTTCGAGAGCTTAAAAATAGGTGCCCATACTCAAGACTCTCAGACGTGAATGAAAACAGAAATGACTCGATTAAAAAAATTTAAATTTTCCAACAAAAAATGGAAAATAATAGTTGTTGTTGTAGTTCATTCACTAGAGCTGCACAATGGGCTATTGGTGACGGTCGGGGAAACATCCCTGAGTATGATCTGAAGGCATGCCATCGCAATTTTGATTCTCTGCAGAGGGGATGGTACCCCAACTTCGGTAGCCCGATGATCTGCACGCGAAGTCGAGCACTTTACGGTAGAACAGTTTAACGAGGATCCATACCGCATACCCTCGGTTTCTACACAGACTAATCCAAGTGGTCACCCACCCGCACACTGACCGCAGCCAGTGATGCGTGACTGTGATCTTCTGGGAACCGTGTCTTAACGATCAGTCCACTACGGGACGAAAATAATAGTGAGGAACATATCTAGAGAAACCACGGTAGCAGAGAATAAAATAGAAAAAGACAAAATTGAAAAACTGGAATAGCCGTGAGAGGCAAATCAGTTCAAAATGCATTTCCACAAGGTATGGAGACATAGTGGGGAACTCATGTCGTTAATAATAGAACTGGCAAACATATGAATAAAACAATATTCTAGGGCAACAAGATGAGTTGATATGACAGGAGTGGAAATATTACTATTACATAAAATGAGTCTAAACATGAGTGTATTTTTGAGAATGAGAACTCGTCTGGGATCTTTCGGGCTAAATTATGTGCTTTGCCAGTTGGTAGCCATTGTTACTCTAGTGACATTCCTTTTCTTTTTAAGTCTCGGTTACCGCTGTTTTCCAATCTTATATTTAAATTGTCAATCATAAATCAAAGCATAAGTCAAATCAATCCCACTATCTTTCTATTGCTAGTCGACTACGCTGTAACAATTTTTTTCAGATAAATACTAGAATAAATTCTTCTATCGGTATTCAAAACTGATCATTTTTCCTAGCCACTCTGCTTTGATCAATACTCGAAGCAACAATCTATATCCCTTGGTACTTAAATCTGGTACTTAAAATCCCTTGGTACTTAAAAATACGTAAATTTTAGCGGGATATATTTATATAGTCATTGATAGGGGTAAATTTTTGATTATGGAAAATTTTAGATTTTTAGAAGGGTTTCTTATAATTGTCTCAAATTACAACAAGTCATGCCTTCTCCCCACTTTCTCACACTCAGACAAACACTTCGTTTTATTTTGATAGATAATCCTTTTAAAAATTACTTTAAGGAACACACACACTCATTGATTGTCAATACTGCGTAAAATTATTTCATAAAAGCTTCAAATTTTGATTTTCCACTTTATTAAGAACCACACTTATCAATCCAACAGGGACATAAAACAAATATAATCAGGCTTATATAATATATTTTATGAATCGTACATAAGGTATAAAATCTAATTAATATCGGCCAATACTTCACTCTGAATAAGAAAACCAATTTTATTCGACTGAAATTCAAAGTCATGTTGATCCAGATGAAAACCGAGAAAAATTTTATACCATCACCAGTATTGTTAAAACAGCTGAGAATGTTTAAATCCTTCATCATGCAGCAAGAAATAAAATAAGTAAAGATTAACCTTCTATCGTTTACAGTTAATATTTCGCAAGACACTCCATAACTAAATCATACTTCATATCTTAGTCGCTCCGTATTTTACATTCTAACTAACCACCTAAAATCATCCTTGTCGCGAAGGATCATGATTTGAAGATTTTAAAATAAAGTTAAAATGTCACGCCTCCTTAAAAAAATGCATGTGTTTAAAACGTGAAATTCGTATTAAGTTCTGCTGCATGAGTTTCGTATATAAATCACTCGATACTATGACGGAAATAAATCATGACAAGAATATCATTCAAAATTTTAATTTCTTTAAAATTGCTCTCACCACTGGAACTTTTACTTTCTGGTAAGTATAAAGAAATTATGATTAAACTTCCATAACTAGACATTTCTCTTAAAATTCAAAGTATTTAACATTTATAAAATTGATTCTCAGTGAATTGTCTATGAATAGACACCTCAGATGAGTATATTATTCCGATGAATGTAGTAATAATTGTCGATTTTATTTTTGTGAAATATTGTATTATCGAAGCATGTAAATATAGATCTTGAATCAAGAACAGTCACCTTATGAAAAAAAACTTAGAAAACGGTTTCTTACTTAAATACCTGTAAAGTCCTATAAATATCAAAAATATGAATGCGAGTTAATACCTGGTAGCTAAAATTCGAAAGCGTTGGGACTAAACTGTTCGACCAAGGAATTGTCTAATTTAATCAAGATGTTTAGTGTTTAGTTTATATACAATATTTTTAATTTATATACAAATTTATTGATCAATTTAGTTAAAGTAATTTATTTTCTAGAAAAAGTGAAACCACCCAGTTTACAATCGCATACCTCAGGTACCGTGGTTTCAAATAAAGTTAAGAGTGCTAATTTGGTGACGCTAATCCTACCACGCTTATGTTGATTGTTAAGTCTATTTAGCACAAGGAATAGAAAAGAATTATGTGTTTAAAAACGTGCAATATAATTTTTTTTTTAATAATGTGAGCTTTAAGCAGGCCCACATAAAATTTTGACCTTTCAGAATTATTACACCGAAAATTTATTAAACAGAATTGTATGCAGCTGTATTTATGTCAGAGGTTTGTTCTGAAGCAATAAAAAAATTTTATTCTTCAAAAGTCTTATAAATGGTTTAATTGAAATTTTTGGAATGGGAGCTGAGATCGCTCACTGCTGCTGCAGTTCAAATTTTAGGATTATAGAACTAACGATTCTGGGGTTATAAGAGAGACACACACACACGAAAATACTCTTTATTTTATTATTATAGAAAATATTAAATTTATCAGAAATTGATTTTTGAAAAGCAATAACAAAGTATAAGTTATCTAGACTTTTCTTTTTATTTGAAGGTATTTTACTTATTTTGACGCTTACAAAAACTTTAAAGCTGTAGATAAGACCATGAAATGTATAAATAATATTATCCTTGACTTATTAATCCTTATCTTTTTTCAGATTCAAAATAAAATTTACATTTAATTTGTCGCTTTTAGGAGATTGCTTATTTCACACTAAACCACATTTGTATGATATTTGCATGCTTAATGTTTATATGAGAAAGTGGAAAAATGGAAGAATTATAAAAGCTAGTCTGTGCTTGTCTAAAAGTTTCATTTAATTTATTTGGAAAATTTGTTTTGTGTTACGGCAAGTAATAGTTTTATTTTTCTGCCTAGAGAAACCTAATAATCCACAATTTCAAGAATTTAAATTTTAACCCTATTAAAATTGTGCACTTTGAAATTGTGAGAATATTTCAATTTTTATTACAATTAATATTCGTGAGAAGTTACAAGGTTGATATAAGATTACTTTATCAATCTTTTATTACTTACTACTGATACAAAGTAAAATAAATAATTGAAAATTAAATTTGAATCGACTTACAGATTTGCTTTTTCTCTACAGTTTATTAATCCAAACTCAATCACAACATGAAAGATTCATCGCGGTTTCTTAAAAGGGCACAAAATATAATTTTTGATATTACTGAAAGTCCCACAACATTGTTGTAGCAGTGAGAGCTAATTTGTTTCTAGATGCTTCTAAAATCATTTCAATATATCACTCTCCATATTTTATATTTTTACTAATTGTTTAAAATCACCCTTTTCGAGCTGAATCATGATTTGAAGATTTTAAAATAAAGTTAATTAGTCTCGCTTCCTTAAAAAGGAAATATTAGTGTAAACCGTGATATTTATATTAAGTTTTGTTACATGAGTTTCATATATAAATCATTCGATACTAGTACGAAAATAAATCAAGCCAATAAATCACTCGATACTAGTACGTAAATAAATCACGCCAAGCAAATCCTTCGAAATGAATTTCAACTCCTTTAAAGTTGCTCTCAGCCCTGGAATTTTTCTTGTCCTTTTACTTTCTGGTAAGCATAAAGAAATTATGATTAAACCACCATAACTAGATATTTCTCTTAAAATGCAAAATATTTAATATTTATAAAATATATTTTAGGTGAATTGTTTGTCTAAACCGATCTTAAAGAGTATAAGCACAAGTATAAATTAACGATTATAATCGCGTGGTACGGGTAAAGCAGGAGATAATGGCCATCCCTTGAGACGTATAAAGTTCAATTAATTATTATAAACTGTTTCTAAATACACTGGATGAATAGTGTGGATGAATAACCTTTTATACTAGATTACTAAAACTATCATTTTTGTAACCTTAATGTAAAATTTTATTTTTCCAATGTAATTGCCTCGTGTAATAAACTATTTTAAATTTTTTTTATTCAGTGAGTTCTTGTTATAAGTATGAATAGGAGCTCTGAAAATTCACAACTCCAATGAGTATACTACTCCGATGAATTTAGCAATTTTGTATATTTCTTTTTTTATAAAATATTGTAATATTGTATAAAGCTATAAGCCCTGAATTATAAAAAGTAATCTTATGAAAAAAAGAAAACTGGTGAATTGTTTTCTTACTTGAATGCCTGAAAAGCCCGAAAATAACTTTTAACTTTTTTTTAAATAAATTTTGTTTATTTGATTTACAAGACAGATATGTAGAAATAGCATTTATATACTTTGGTTAAAAGATGGCAGCACTATGCTTTCTCTTTTCTGTTACTCTATGAGGAAAACTTATTTAAGTTCCTAGTTCTCTTTAAAACTTTTGTTCCTTCGCATAATAATTTGGTTTGTGTGAAGTGTGAAAAAGTATTCCTTTTTGCAGTAGTTTGGGGCTATTTATCAGTCAATTGAGAGTAATAATCCACCACTTTTTTTTTTGAAAAATTAGTATGCAACGAACTGATCTTAATCAAATTCTAAGTCAAAACCCAATATATATTAAATATACTTTTAATTCAAATTGGGAAGGAATGCATTTCACATAAGTCAGTTTCCAGTCAATTTCACTTTTAAAATGAATTTCATTTCCTATATATAAATACAATTTTTTAAATTCAGTTAAAAGTTGTAAAATTAATGGTTTAAAGGAATCTCGAAATGTGCTATTTAAATAGCTATAAATGATGATGACAGCTATAAATTTATTTTCTTCTTTTTTTTGCATAAAAAATCAAACGTAATGATTATTGAGTCTTCATTTGTAATAAAATGGAAAGCTTATTTTTCATAAGCGTTCCTGAAATGTAATCGTAAATTGTGCTCCTTCAAAGATTTGGTAATACAGTATCGTGCAGTTGTGTTCCCACTAGATCAACATCAATAATATAATCAAAGGCTGAATAAAACAAATGTGATCTATGCTTCAAATTACAATAATTGCTTTTCTATTGCTCATTTTCTGCAATCTCCTGTCATTGCCTAAAATTGAAAGGTAAGTTTATCACTAGAGCAAAAACATGGTTGCTATGGGATTATATGTTGTATGTTATGTGTCTAGTATCAATAAAAAATGTGGCCTTTCTATTTTTCTTTATTTAATTATGACTATTCAAAAAATGTTTAAATAAAATTCACATATGGAGATTCATTCATACATTGTGTTACTAATAACACATCTGATATTGCTTAAGGAACTTCAATATTCATCTGTATTGTGCATGCATAAATTATGTTAGATTTATTGCTATTGATATCACTATTACAATATTCTTAATAATTCATCATTTCATATTCTTATTAATATATCAATTATTACAGTATTCGGTGTTAAATTAAGTTGAAAAGCTACTACAATTCTGAAAATTGTACAAGTTGACGCGAGACCTATAGAGATTTCGTTACTTGTGTATTAATTAAAAGCTATAATAAAATAAAGTCTTTTTTCTCTTTTCATTCACAATAATATATTTTTCAGGTAATTTAGCTACATAAAATAAATTTAGGTTGTTTTTTCAACGTGACTCAAATTGATATGCCGATTCAGAATTTTATTTTTCAGAATTCAGAGTTTGTTTTTATATCATACTTAAATGCATGAAATTTATTTTGATTTATAACTTTGCTATATTATTTTATTTATAGTTTTGTTCAATGTAATTATCAAAAGATATTAAACTCGATAATGGAATTCAATCTTTTTTTTTGTTCATTTTATTTTTCACGTATTTAAGTCCAAATGGATTTTAAGCTTTCAATTTTTTTAAAAAAAAGCAACATATTAATGTTTCCTATGGGGTGGCTACGAGTTGTACCCTTTGAGATGTCTCCTTATTAATTTTTTATTTTAGTATCTCGCAGGCTGCTGCTCGGAAATTGCCAAGACCCGGCGATTATTCTGCTGCAGATCACTTTACGAAGATCTTTCGAAGATAAATTTTATAGATTGTTGCATTTAGCTTAAAATATTGAGTATTTTCTGAAAATAACATTGTTATCAATAAAAAATAACGCTACCATAAAGTGTCAGATTTCATGTGTAGTTTCCAATTTCAGATTGTACAAATGTGAAACTATCCATTTAACTACCGTTCAATTAAAAAACCCATGAAGCAATTGAAAGCGCTCTTGATTGTCCCTATTATTTTGTTTTCGTTCAACATATTAATATATTGATAAATTACATATATTCTAAATAATATATTACATAGTGACATTTTAGTTAATTGTAAAAAAATATTACAGCAAGCTAAAATGTATCATGCTAATAAAATATTTCTTATTTATTCTTTGTTCAAGATCACAATAGTAGTTTAAATCACATTTCAAAATGCGTTAACAAACGGTTAATATTTTCATTAATTTTAATTTATACTTTTATTCCCACTGTTTGATTTTTAAACTTAATGCGACATGGTTAAAACAACAACAAAAATTGTGCTTTAATCTTCAAATTATGTATAACAGGAAAATTGTGGAGCTCTGCTGATAATATATAGATTTATTGTAAAAACCCGATTGTATACTGTATTGGTTCTTATGACAACTACAAATAAGCAAATTCCATGGATAATCAGCAAAATGGTCGAAACATGTCATCCGTGTAAGTATTTAAGTATCTCTTACAAGATATGTTTTTTAAAAACGTGCTTCGCTGAAAAAAAAACACATGAAAGAAACCAATGATATTCAAACAAAATATCTTGAAAAAATAATCTCACAAGAGCAAAATGTTAGGAGGGATTAGAAATTATTTGCCTAAAGTATTGTATATGCTATATAATAGCATAAACTCAAACTTCAAAACACATTTTGTCTAGTTGTACCGATTGTATACTGTATTGGTTCTTATGACAACTACAAATAAGCAAATTCCATGGATAATCAGCAAAATGGTCGAAACATGTCATCCGTGTAAGTATTTAAGTATCTCTTACAAGATATGTTTTTTAAAAACGTGCTTCGCTGAAAAAAAAACACATGAAAGAAACCAATGATATTCAAACAAAATATCTTGAAAAAATAATCTCACAAGAGCAAAATGTTAGGAGGGATTAGAAATTATTTGCCTAAAGTATTGTATATGCTATATAATAGCATAAACTCAAACTTCAAAACACATTTTGTCTAGTTGTACCGATTGTATACTGTATTGGTTCTTATGACAACTACAAATAAGCAAATTCCATGGATAATCAGCAAAATGGTCGAAACATGTCATCCGTGTAAGTATTTAAGTATCTCTTACAAGATATGTTTTTTAAAAACGTGCTTCGCTGAAAAAAAAACACATGAAAGAAACCAATGATATTCAAACAAAATATCTTGAAAAAATAATCTCACAAGAGCAAAANATATGTTTAGAAAAGTAACACAAATAGAATAAATGAGTGGGCTGCTCGGATTGGGACGTGATCCACAGAGAAAAGAGTTTTTCAATTACCTGTAAGCAACATAATTTTAATGACAAAATAAAGACTTTCAACTTACAAGAAATATGAAAATTTAAAATATGACAGTTCAATATCATGAATATCACATGATAGTATGAGTACATATACAATTGAAATGTATTCTTTGTTAACATGTTCACCATTGCTTATCTCATTTTATTCAAGCATTTTCTCTTCTTCCAGGAACTGTCACGTCTTCTCGAGAATTTTCAGAAATGAAGGAAGAATATTCTTTTTATGTTTGGGAACCTTTTGTAATTTCGATATTATTCTGAGTTTGTTTTTTAAACAGATCGGTTTGAGTGAAGATCTATAAAGAAAACAAATTATCAACATATGAAACTAATTCGAAAGTAAATGTTACAAAATTTATGCCAGAGTTAACTTTACAGGGATTTAATTAGAGATAAAGAATTTTAATTGATCCATTAAGTATCGAGTTATGCGGTCATGTACGAGCATAATTTTTTGAAATTTTAAATGATTACTTTGCATAAATGTAGTTAATTTTATTGATACAGCTTTCAATTACTTTTTTCAAGTCATTGGTACTTATGGGCTTCTTAATGTAAAGAGAAAAATCCTTATCTTAAATGATCTTAATTGTAAATGTAAAGATCTTAAATGCAAAGAAGAAAAAATATTGAAGAAGGGTTATACAGCGTAAAATTGTATGATCTGAGACCTAAGCATGCTTAAAATATTACCCAGCAATAAAAATTCGATGCTCTTTGATGAAATGCTAAAATTTTTATAATCCTGTAATGTCAGCTGTCCAACTTCTTGTTTTTCGTTGGCAACATTTTCGTTAAAAAATGGCATAAAGATAGAACTTGAGTGACTTTTGGGACACTCTTTATTATGCAAGGTAGATTGCTCATAAAAGGTTAGCGCACGAAATAATTAAAAAAAAAAAATTAAAATTCTGAATAAGAACTTTAAAATAAATTAACTTGGGCATGTTTTTGTCGTTTTTCTTGAGAATTACCTTTATATTTTTGCATATTTAACTAACTATTTAAACCTAATTATTTCGTTTATTAATTTCTGATTTATTTCAAATAACGTATCTTAAAAATTTGTTTGTCTATAATGTTAAAAAAATTAAGGAAAGCTAAAGAATTAAATTAATATATTTCACTTTTATAAGTCATGTCTGTGCTGTGCTCTTACTGTCTGATTTGTATCATCTGTTCTGATTTGAATAAGCACAGATTTTATAAATTTATTCATTGTATAATGATAACAAATATCCGTTTTATATGCCGTTTAATCTAATTATTATAAATACTAGATCAAATTTATTTTATGTTGTCCAATTTGTTACAGATCGTTAGTTTCTTTTAATAATTCAAGGAGTTTATAATCATTACCATGACAAGACAAATTGTGAAGCCTAATATAAAGCCTGCTGCAACATCATCCCAATGATGCTTGTAATCTCGAATTCTTGAAAAGCAGATGAAAACAGCCAACATGAGTAATAGAAGCTGAATAAATGGCTTTACCAAAAAACTTGTAGTAATTTCTAAGCGTTTTTGAAGGTACAGCTAAAAATAAAGAGAAATAAACAAATATTTACAAAATGGAACATTTTTAAAACGTTTGATAACATTGTTATTTTTATTATTAGTACCAGAAGAATTTTACAGTTTCTACTCGAGAAGAGGTAAAGTGATTAATCTAACCATAAAATTTAAATCAGATTTAATTGGATAACTGTATGTGACGTCATACATGTGTATCAAACCCGATATGGATTTTTAATCGACAAATGCATGATTTACCTTCGATAACGGTTCAACAGCCAAGCACTCTTAAATCCTATTATTCGGCAAAACTCTATATCAAACATTTTATGAGACAAAACTGGAAACCGTTGGTCACTTCTCGCATTTCTTCAAGAAGTTGAAGGAACAGCTTAGAACAGGGTATTGCCGATAAACCCCGCAATAAAGCTGCTGCAGAATTCAGACTTGCGGTGGGCCATGATTGCCTGGCGAACCACCTGCCGCATCGGCATTCTCGCTGACCCAAATTGCCCGTTATGCTCCAATAATGAACTTATGGACAGGAACCATCTATTGAGATGCTCGACTCTGTGTGGGGACTCTGAGGTGAGGCGCTACTGGAGTGCCCGACATCTGTTAATGAGATAGTGACTTTTTTCTCTTACTTGTTGTTCACCTTTTTGTTCACTGTATTTGTAAGAGTTTGTCATTTTCTTTTGCCATTAGAAAAAACAAAATAATAAAATCTTCGAAAACGTAGCTTGCATGCATCCAATTCTCAGAAAACTCAGACACCAACTTTCCTGGTTCAAAGAATTTTACGAAGCATAGCATAACACAGTACCCCTAAACATAAAAACATACGAGATGTATTGTAAAATATTCGGGTTGCCACAAATAAAACAATAACGCCCATTCCGAAGATCAATTTGGCGATAATCTAAAAGTCATCTCAAGTATATACACTTCCACATTTTTGGTTATTCTCATGCAAAAATAAGAGCTCAGCCAAGTGTTCTAGATTTAAGCGAAAAGAATTACTAAAGATATAATGAAAAATGAGATTAATTGCATTTGTGAAAAGTAAGAAAACGATTTTTAAAATATTAATTTATTATGTCACACTTAATATAGCTCAAAACAATTTTCAATCTTCGAAAATCGAAAACTAGTCAAGTTTTTCTTCATAAGAAAGTTCGCATATCAGGTAGAATAACTTGACTTCTTCAATTTTAAATTGCATTTCATGCATTTCCATGCTACAGATTTTTCTTAAAATCTTGATACAATTTATAAAATTTACTAAGAAATTTCATTTCTCTCTAAACAAAAAAATGATAAGCGTCTCTGCAAGTATAAGTCTTGTTAACGAATAAAATTACTTCTAAATTTTTATTATTGACACACACAATCAGTATTTTAAAATGTTTTTAAGTATGGATAATATTTAAATCCAGGAAATTTTTCAATTTGTTACGATTAAATGTCAACATGTTAAGAAAGTTATAATAATTACTTATCCTATTTACAAAATGTTCTTTGTTCTTGTAGAAATATCGACTTTTAAGTGAAAAATAGGTAAAAAATAAAAACATGATGAATAGAGAAAGCAGAGAGGTGGAGTCTAGTATCAGTCATTCTAAAAAAGTAATAAAAAAGTTTTTATTTTAAAGGTCTGTTTTTCCATTAAATGCTGGAACATATAGACCAACCAATTAACGAAACATGCAGAATTTTCTAGAGCAATTTCTAGTTTGTAATTAATTATTATTAAAACCGTTTTCAGTGATATATAATTTGTAACTGTAGTGATTATTTTTAATTATAATTGTAAATAAGTTTATGATTAGTTTATTACTTACTGCTACATAAAGCATAGCAAATGTTGAAACAGATGAATGGCCAGAGGGAAAGGATTTCCTAAAAAAAGGCAGTGAGTGTAAAAATGGAATATCATTTGTGCATTGAAAAAATAATTTAAAAAAATATAAATATAATAAAATTTGAAATTTGCTTTTAATAGAAATACATATATCTTTCTAAAAATTGTAAATCTAAAAATGTGTTTAACCATATCTTAAAAAGAAATTGATTTTATGAAACTTGAAGATCATTTTCCTCAAAGAAGTTAAACTCGCAAATCACAAAAAAAGCACATGAAGATAAAATTTCAATGTTCCCAAATGGAAAGTTTGGAAATTTTGAATGTTAATTGTAAAAGTGCATACTTTTTCTTATTTTAATAACTAAGAAGGACATTTATACAGATATCTATAGAATACATATATAATACATGTATAATGCATATATAATACATATATAATACATATATAATACACATATCTTTCTAAAAACATTACAAACTTAAAAAAAGTGTTTAACCACATCTTAAAAAATAATTCCTTTTATGAAACTTCAAGATCATTTACCTCAAAGTTAAGCTCTCAATCCACAAAAAAGTGAACTTGAAGATAAAAATTTTTATGTCCTCATATGCTAGAAATTTTTGAATATTAATTGTGAAAGTGCATACTGTTTCATATTTTAATAAAAAAGAAGGGAATTTATACAGATATCTACATAATATATATAATACACATGAAGATATAAAATGCTTATATCTTCCTAAAAACATTGCAAACCTAACTTAATTGTAAACTTAACTGTTAAAAGTGTATACAGCTTCATATTTTAATAAAAAATAAGGAAATTTTTGACATTAACTTGCCTTCTTTAATATATAAAATGACATTATGTCATGTTTGCGTGAAAAGATTGTGCCAAAAATCTTCATATTTCATGGTCTTGTATAGCTGAGCAAGTAATTTTGTAAATCTCTAATCTTATTTATATAATCTGACAGTTGTGATAAAGAGTTCTTATATGTAGAAAAGTGTTCACGAAACTTCGTAACAAAAGATAAGCATATTAAATTTTACTTTTAATTCTTGTCACACCGCAACATAAAGTTAAATGCACATCTCTGCTCTGTATCCAAAAGTTTTGACACTCTGTATCCAAAAATAGTGAAATAGTTTATTAAGATTTAAAGTCCACCTGTAACATCATTTTAAATGGAGCCCAAATGTAACTTAAACTAACTGTTAAGTAAATTTATATAAAAATTAATATGCAGAAAAATACGTAAATGGCAACAATAACTATATCTTTTGATTTAGTCGCGCAAACACCAGTGAATTAATCAAAATTAACCTCATTTAGCATTCGTATAATTGTTTATTAATTCAGATTGAAGTAATAAGTTGTTCCTTCGTCCCAAAAATAGTTTTATAAATAATATGTTACTGAGAAAATTTAAAAGGAAAGAATTCTGATAAAATTTTTAAAAAAAGATAAACAATTTCTTAGAAACAGTTTTTTTTTTTAAATTCCCATGCATGTTTTCATTATTATTTAACATTTTATAAAATAAATGTAACATTAGGAGTAGATTTCTAGTCTAGTTTTAATTAAATAAAATAAAAAGTAAGAATTCGGAAATGAGAGTCATTGAAAATGTTATTTAAATGTTTATAAAGTTAGCATAAAATATAGATATTGAGTTTGAAATTAAACAAAACTTTATAATTAACTTTTTCGTAGATTACAAATTTTAAACCCTTTCAATAACGATATTTTATTTTATTTAATAACCATCATGGAGCATCTGACTTATTCCCAGACCAAAGCAAATGCATCTCTGTCATTTAAGACGTATAAACTGATTTTTGATAATTTGCATATCTTCTTTGCTCTTTCGGACCAAAATTTGTTAACTTGTATTTCTCACTTAAATATTAAGTTAGGACACCCAATGGCTATAGTTTCAAATTTCAACATTTTGCAAGTATTCCATAGATATACTAAGAGTGTTAATTAAGAACTCCCGCTTTAAAAAATAAAGAGGAATGCTAAAATTTGAATGGGAAAAATTAGAAGTAATAGAGAAAAAATTTAAAAAAAAATTAGTTTGTTATATTTACGTTCTCGTGTTTTATTTTTAATTTAAATAACATGTTTTGTTTGGTTCATATCATTAAGGTGTAAAAGGAGTTCAGGATTGGGTGTATTTCAATCTAAAGTTGATTTAATGTTATATTAATAATATAGAAACAATACCTCAGATCTTCTTCGTCATCCAAATCCTTGTTTGTGCAAGAGAAATTTTCAACATAAAAGTGTGGATATTCAGCATTGCTGCAATTGAAATCTGGCTTACACATCACTAGAAATGAAGGTCGAAATCTTCCAATTAGGATTTTCATGTAATTGGCGACTAATTCTGCCATGATGATGCCAAAAAGAAAAATTCCAGTATATACATACACTCTCTGGTACATAAATGGAACTTTCCATCCCAAAAAATAAATGTCATTGTCTTGTGTTACGTCAGTTTTTCTGTAATATCTGTATGCTTCTGTTAAAACTATCTGTAAAATATATGTATAGCTTTTAGCTTAACACTTACAAAATTGTCTTCTAATTTTTTATAGCGAAAGTTGCTCCATTGGCAGCACGTTTTTTTTTTTGGCATTAATATTTTTAAAAAATCTAGAATCACATCTTGCAAGCACACCCTGGGACACTGATGTCCCATTAGTTTTTTTGAGTGAGACGTATGTAGTCTCACCGGTGTCCAACGGTAATACATGATAATAAAATAATAATTTTTTAAACTCATGCAAATTGTGATTCAAAACAACTCTAAAGTATATAAATAAAATTTATATTATATTATTCAATTTTTTGGCTCTTTTTCAGCTATTTCCCTCTCAAAATGATGCATAAAACTTCATGTACATGTGATTTCTTCAAAGCTATGCCACCATGAACGTTTTACATATGCTTCCAATCCTCCAAATAGAAGGAGGGAAGTTCAAAAGATTTTTATGGGCAAATCTAATGTTAAGATGATGGAGTGTTAAGATTTAATCCCGCAGTCTACTTGCAGTGTCTGATGGGACATATATTTGTTCTATCATATTTTAAAGCATTAAAGTAAAAATTAATGCAAATGAAACTGCTTTTTTTTGAATTTAAGGTTTAGATTTTTTAAATTAATTAAAGTTTGCTTGACTACATTTTAGATTAATTGAAGACAAAAATTTATTTATATTGCATTAAACATATAACATTATTAAATAAAAAACTTGGGAAAGGCATGCAATATTTATCTCTTACACACATTATCTGTAGACAGTAACTACTAATTAGCATTTAAAACTAAAAACTACTTCATAAATAGCAAGTAGGATGGTACTAAGAAACACACCAACCCATAACCGGTACATGCGAGTAAATGAATACAAAAAAGCACGAAATGTTTTTACGTGTTATTTTTACTTACTTATTGTGTTCTATTTTATTTGTTGTAATTTTTGTAAAAAAATTTTTTGAGTGCTTCTCACACTATTGTATTAATATATTTTGCTTTTGCTATATTGATACAATATCAGAAAGCACTCCTTTTTGCGGATATAATAGTGTAGGCTGATAAAATAATTGTATCTTTTATATTCCGAATTTTTCATAAAAAAAGAAATTATCCTTTTTTTTCCAGTTGTTTGTTATTTTTTTATTTTTATTATTTTTCTTCCCCCCCTTTTTTTATATGTCTGTCAAATTTATTCTAGTTTTCAGATTTTATACAAGTTTAAAAGATTCTTTCAAATTAAAATTGATTGATCAATAAAGAAAACTTTTCATACCAATGCTACAGGAACTAATACAGAAATACACCAGAGTTTTTGGTCTGAGATTGTTTCTTGTCTCTTTGGATACAAGATGCTCTCATCATCGCAGAAAAATCCTCTTCTATAAGGTGTTAAGTAATGATAAAACAAGGCTAAAAATGATGCAACTAAAAAAAGAAGAGAAATTGCTATAAATGCTCATAAATGAAGGAAAAAATGTGCTTTCGTAAATTATAACTGTTGCTTTATCTATTGATTTAACAATTAAATAATTATTTATTAGGCTACGTAAACTTTTGAAGTACGCAAAATAATAATGAGTGAAAAAACTTTATGTTCTAATTAGTTTTGTTTTTGCTTTTACGTTTTCTTTCTTTTATTTACCAACAGAAAGTTTGTAAACACGAGTTCAACATCAACCACCAAAAGATTGAAAATTTGTATGTAAGCAACATAATTTTTTTCTTCATAAAAATACATTTTATACATTTAAGCTTTCATTAAGCTAAATACATTTTAAGATTTCCCCTTTTTAATTCTGAATCATTTTTGTAAAATATAGTTAATTAGTCGTTTAATGTTACTTTCGCAAAGGTAGTTACAAATTTTTATTTAAAAAAGATTAAAATATTACCTAACAACTTTTGTACGGATTACTCTTAACTAAGCACTTAAAAAAATCTTTATTTGCAAAAGTTTACTTTCAATATTTTTACCCAACATTGCAAAATCAAAAGTTAAATATTCGCGGAGAAAAAATTGTGTTAAAACTTTCGTACTGTATGGATATGATATTTTCGGTAATAAAAACCATTATTGTGATGAATAAAATCAAATTATACGTTATTTAAACAATTCATTTAATAATTTTTCTGTTCGTATGGTAACAGTTTACCGGAGTTATGGGTTTCAAAATGATAGTTTTTATTATCACACATTAAGTGAAAAATACAAAATTGAAAAGTAGATTTTACCAAATAAATTATTTTTATGCTATGCTCTTAGGTATCTTGATAAAATTACTAAGTTCTACCACACTTACCAAATTTTATCGTATATTATAGAATCACATTTAATAGAATTTTACCAAAATTATTTCCAAGATGCTTCGATAAGACTTACTGAGTCTTTTTGGTGTTCCCATAGAGCCAGAAGCGCTGTAAATTTTACCCCACTCGGGTAGTTTTGACCAAACCTTTTCTCTCAGCGATGAGTATTTTATAATTACCCCGCAACTCACATATACTCACATATATACTTCTTAACAATTCATAAAAATGAAAACTACATTCATTTTTGATTTAATTTTGTGGCTTTTAAATAATATTTAAATGGAAAAAAAGCTTAAAACTTATAAATCGCGGTGACGGTAGAAAAGTGTGAAAACTCAATTGATTTTTGGATGAAACTGAAATGCTAAAAAGAAAGACAATTATTATAAATATTTTTTTAGTTCAATGAATTTTGTACTTTGAATTCTGTCTTTGCTGTGAATTATCTTGATAATGTTTCGTCACATTATGTTATTTTTTCACGCATATTAACTTATGACAACCAAATATTTATAATTTTTATTTAATTTTTAATAAAGATTCTAAAAATATGTATAATATGTATTAAGTGTGGTGATTATGAAATGTTCTGGAAATGAAATTATGCTTTATCGATTCATTTTATTTTAAAGAGAGCATTGTAAAATAAAGGAAATGTTAAATATAAAACTGATTTACATAAAAAAAACATTAATTTTCCTTAAACTTACATATTGAAAGTAGAATTACATCTATGCAGACTTTTAAGGTGACATTTTGACTCCTCGCATTTGTTTCCATAGTAAACCTGTTATGTAATTAAAAAAATAACAAATATCAAAATTAAAAAATAATAAAACTCAACTTGTAGATGAATTTATGATCACGTTCAAAATTTGGTCATATGAATAATAAATAAATAGGAGCGTGATAATAGAACTGATAAAGTATTTTTAACAAAAATAAGAAAAGAAATGTAGGAAATCTTCATTTCATCATCTTAAGCTGCATAATTTATAAACTGTTTTTCTCCTTTTACTAGAGTAACGCAAAGAAATATCTTCGAATATTCAGTTACAAAATTAATGTTGTGAATAAATTAATAAATGTAAAAATTATATCAAAAACTTTTTAAGTAATAAATGTTTAATAAGATTAAAACGTTGCACATTTATGTTTTCATAACCGACGTATGATTCATAATGACCAACAAGTATCTAAATTCGAAGGCTCTGTTGGAATATAAAATTACGTTTTTTTGCTAACAATATGCTATTTTCATAAATGCAGTGAGTTTGCAGCGGTTGATCATGATTGTTTGATCCAGTTTAGCTTATCTTAAGCCAGCGCTATCTACGCCTATTTTGAAAATGGCGCAAAACGTCAATATGGAGAAAAACCACAGTTTTGTTGCTGTTGCTTTTGCTAATTCCCATCTGGTCTGACGGAGTCAGACCAGATCAATAAATTCATTGACATTTAGGAAGTCCAAAACTAAATGGGGAGAGGAATGAATGTCGTTCCAGTCCAGCCCTAAACAGTTCAAGATGTGCTCTGGTGATGCCTTGTTTTGTTGGCATTTAGGGTAAAGAGGAAAGATCTTTTGATTAGCAGAAAATGTGAGACTTTTCAGGTGTCCACTGACCAGTCGGGATAAGCAAGTGTTGGTCTGCCTGTCACCAGGAAGAGACAGAGAGAGTCTTGGTCCTTTAACTTAATACCAGTAGTGAATAGGTGGAAGCAGCCACTTTTGTTTGTTCTGGGCCTTTTGCCTTGCGAAAAGTTCAAGGTACGAAAGCTCTGAGGGGGAGGGGACTGGATGGTCTAGTCCCTTCTTTGCAAGAGTGTCAGCCAACTCGCTTCCGTGGATATCGACGTGGGACAAACAGTTTTGTGAAATTGAAAAGCGGTTGTAGTCTAATTTTTAAACATTTAAGAACTTACTCCAATACTGCATGACTTGAGCTCATAAAAATTTTCTAAAATGGAGAATACGGCAGTGATTTTGATAATTTTCATTGACGTGAAAAAATGTCTCCAAATTGGCAATTTTCAAAAAAGTTTAATAACTTTCAAAATATTTAAGTTATTTGTCTGTTCTAAAGCCCAGATAATTCTCCGAGGCAGGATTATATTTATAGTTTAAAATCATCGCATTGCTTCAAGTGTAAGGCACTTAAACTATGGCTTTTTTTTATTTTCCTTGGAGACAGAGCTTCGAAAAACAGCGTTAAGGGAATCCCCCTCTTGCTCGTTTTATTCACCAATATTCACGTTTGTACAGCAAGATTTTTTGACTCATAACAATAAACAGAAAGTTGCATCAAAACCAGATATTATTCAATTAGATACAAATTTTTTATTGAATTAACACAGTGTTAATTGCTCAGAGCTCGTTGCACAGATTTACTTACTGATAACATCGGAGCAAAATTTAAACCTAATAATTTTGCACGTTACCCATTGTAACTTCGACCAAATATTTGCTTCGTTACTTTGCAAATTCTTGTGTAGTGTTTGGTAACTATAAAATCCTTTTTTCAAAGAGATCAACTAACGATAAAATCGAACTTTAATCTTTATAATGCTTTCAAATTTTTAACAATAGTTTGCATTTAACATTGTAATTGTGTACAATGAATGGATACAGTTTAACATAAGAATTATTATAAAGATAAATGTAACTTTTTTACCATTTAGGAATTGTAAAATGGTAATCAAACGTTAAAAAGGTAAAACCTTTATCACAAAGTATTGAATAATCATATTACTTAATAAGGTAATAATTACGCTTGTTGCTTTAAATTAGGAAGTGGTGTTAGTTGTTTTAAGTTAGGAATATGAAAAAAAATATTTTTACCATTTTAGTGAAGCAAAGGGCACTGAAATGTTATACTCATTTTGGAATAATTAAATTTTATTTATTAAAACACATTAAATCAAAATTATTTTAAGATGTATTATAATTTCAGACATTGCTTAACTAAAAATGATACAATATTTTACAAAAACATACCCGATTAAATGTTACTTACGGATTAAATGTGCCGTACTTTTGTTCTTGAGAGTTCTAAAAATAATGGTTTGTGAAAAATAAATTTATAAAATGAAAAGAACAATTGGTTTAGGACACCAAATAACATTAAATATTTTTAAAACATTCATTTTTTTATTTATGTGAAAATTAAAAGAAATAAATTCGGAGGTAAAAGAGTTGTACAGTAGAGAAAGTAAAAGATGGAACACATAGATAAGTTTTGTTCTAATGTTTGATTTTCACAAAATAAGTGCCAATCTAAATGTTACTAAGGGGTGATATGCTTATTTAGTACTACGGAATCAGACACAAGAACAGCAGTTTCTCGGAATAATATAACCTTTACGGATGGATTTGGATTCATGATCCTCAAAATATGGGAGTAGGAAACATCAATCTTTAAAATATGGTACAAATTGATAGTCCAATATATTGGATTCATAACCCTCAAAATATGGGAGTAGGAAACAGCAATCTTTAAAATATGGTACAAATTGATAGTCCAATATATTGGATTCATGACCCTCAAAATATGGGAGTAGGAAGCAGCAATCTTTAAAATATGGTTAAATTGATAATCCAATATATTGGATTCATGACCCTCAAAATATGGGAGTAGGAAGCAGCAATCTTTAAAATATGATACAAATTGATATTCCAATATATTGATCAAAAATTTTGCACATTTCATGTTTAAATCCCTTTTAACGCATTTTACTATTTTTATGCATCAGAATTATTTAAACAAAACCAAAACCATTTTGCACCTAATTATAAAACTAGTTGATTCTAAGAAGAGGGGTATATTTTCATAATCGATATTTATTAAATTTTTATTTTTTACTTATTTAATAAAAAAAACATTAAATCAAAAAAAAATTTTTTTTTTTGATATGTGAAGTCTACTACTTTTTACATAACTAAAAACAATGTAACTTTAAACAATAACAGACAAAATTAGAACGGAATCAGTCCAATAGTTTCTGAGTTACTTAATTTCAATAAAGACGAATCACATTTTTAAATTAATATTTCATAAGTTAAACCATTTAAAATGACATTATTTAAAAAGATCCAAAAATTTTAAAAAAATCAACACTAAAATAGCAATTTTATTTACTTGAAGCAAATTATGAAAAATGACCGAAAAAATTATGCTTTACATTCAGTTATCCTTGGATTGTTGATTTTTATAAATTGGTTTCAAAGATACAGAGAAATATCCAAGAACTAAAGTAAACTTCAAGAAGATAAAATTTTTGCTCACCTCTTACTTAAATCATTGGGACCATTTTTTTGTGGCTATCCCCCTTTTTTTAAGGCCCGATAAATCATTGAATTTCTTATAACTCAGGTTTCATATTTGGTCAAAAATACAGAAATAGTTGTTAGTTAGATAGTTTTAAAATTATTGAATTTTTGTGACGAAATTTGAGCATTCAAAACTGTGTTATTTATTAAAAAAATAATTTCCTATTCAATAACGAAGAAATTTTTTACCTTGTAAAACGAATATAGAAAATTATAAAAAAAAATACTATTACAAAATGTGTTTTATTTCTAAATCCTTGCCTCTGATTTTTAATTAATTAAGCTTAATTGTAACAAAACTTTTGATAACATAGTAACTTTGGATTCCTTCCTTCGTCGTCATTCTTTTTAAAATATTAACTAACAATAAATTCTACAATTATCAAAGTGGACATTTTATACGTAAAAACTTATAAGAATGATGTATTATTGAATGAAACAAAAATTAAAATAAATTACTTAATTTAAATAAAGTATTTGAGAAAACATACAATTTATCGAAAAAAATCGTTTCAACTTACTGTTCAGGAATTTCTTTCATCATTTTCAATTCTGAATTAGAAGAGTTTTTGAATTAGAAGATTTCACAATAATTTAAAATTATTATTCCACTATTTTAAAAACGCTTCTTGTTTGTATATTTGAAACGAATATTTTGCACTCTTGCATTACAAACCGTTAACCATTATCCGAAAAAAAGGTTTGCACCATGCAATTAACAATTACTTTACATGAAGCGTTTCAAATTTATTTCAATCAGCGTTTAAACAATAACAAAAAAAATTTTTTTTTTTGAGTTTTCCAACTCGTCTCTATACACCTCCGATTGGTTCATGAAGGTAAGTTAAGAATGGAAGGAAAATTTTCCTCTCAATAACTTGCAGCAAAGTAAATATCAAAATGTGTCATAAGTTTTCGAAGAAAATAATGCGATTAACAGAAAAGTGTCCAGATTTTACTTTCTTTCGCAACTCAATAAAAATGTCATTTTAGTTTTTTAATAGTCAAAAGATACGATTTTTTAAGTTGTTACAATAATAGTAAGTATTTTTCGTTTGACATTAAATTTCACTACAAGTTTATATGTTTCACTAAAAATTACACCGTATAAAATTTGTTTTCAAAAATATTATATACATAACTGTATTGGTATTACGTACAATGTACAGCGCGTATAACTAAGTTGGTAATTCGTTAAAAAATTTTGAGAATTTTGCAAAACTGTTTTAAACTTTCGGATTTACATATGCAGTTACATAAAAACACACCAAATTGTTAAATAGAAAATTTTAAAACATGTGTTTTATAGTGGAAATTAGAGTCTTGATTTACTGAGTATTTTTATTCATTGTCTTAAGTAATAAAATATGTTAGATTAGGAATCAACATGATTATTTCATATTTTAATGGTAGCTTTTGATCGGCCTTTGCTTTTTAAATCCACCTTGAAATTGATGAAAGCAGAAAATGACTCCTTAGAATAAGTGCGAAAGCATAGTTCTAGTTCTTATACATGTTGATTTTTCTGTAAAATGTGAATTAATTACAACACATCAATTGTCAAAGTATTATATTATTATAGTACATTAAATCAATCAATCAACTTTTTTTTAAAATAATATATATAAAAATCTGCTGGTCATTAAAGGCTTTTATTTAATTTGGTTTATTTTTATACATGGAAATATTTAAGAAAATCTAATGCTTCGGTAGTTTTTTTAATGTTAATTACCTAGTGATAATACAAATCAAAATTTTATTTTATTTAAAATTTGTTCCATTCTAATTTTATTCGCTTTTTACAGGTTAAATAATCAATAGACATAATTATCAATAGGTTAATAATCAGATAATAAATTAAATAATTAATTATTAACTAATCAATTATTAAATAATCAATTAAATAATTAATTTTTATGACTTTCCACACCAGCACCTTAAAATTGAGTTGCTTTAAAAAAACATTCTTGAAAATAGAATAATTATTTAAGGATTATATGTTGAAATTGTCTTTCGTATTGTTCGAAATGCACATAATTCAAACTATAAAATAAGTACATGTTCAAAATAATGCAGAATAATTTCTTTAAACAAATTTATTAAAAATTTACGTATATTAGTCTCCTATCTCTTCTTATTAATAAAATAGCGAATTAGAATTCCATTCTAAATGTATCAATTTACAAGTTATTTTAAATTTTTTAAATTAGAGAAGAAAACAAAAAATTCTTAAGAAAATTTTACTTCCTCTACTCGTAACGTCAAAAGTAATTCTTGTAAAATTTTAATTTCACTCTTCGCAACGTCAAAAGTCATTTTTGTAAAATTTTACTTTCACTCATTGTAACGTCAAAAGTAATTTCTGTAAAATTTTATTTTCATTTTTCGTAATGTCAAAAGTCATTTTTGTAAATTTTTACTTTCATTTTTCGTAATGTCAAAAGTAATTTTTGTAAAATTTTACTTTCCCTCTTCGTAAAGTCAAATGTAATTTTTGTAAACTTATAATTTATAATCCATCACAATTGAAATTTTTTATGAATATTAAAAGACTTTTTCTTCAAAATTGAAAAAGAGAATAAGTTTAAAGTAAACAAATATTATTTTTATTGCCGTGGAGGAGACATCGGTTGTAATTACTTGCGTTTGAACAACCAAAAAATTTTAATTTATCATATTATTCCGAATCCTTAAATTTGGAAACTACTTTCTGTTTAAAATAAAAAGTTCAGAGATAATCATTTGATGGTTACAATTTTTAATCTCTCTTGAATAACTTTAATGTAAATTATGATTGATAATTGAGAAATAACTTCTTACACGTCACTTCCAATTTCTCCCTTTTTACCAAATGTTCGAAAAATAAACGGAAAATTAGAATAAAACTTATTTCAGCTAACAAAGGTATATATTTACGCTTTAATATATACTTTAATATATTTAATCAGAGGAAATTGAAACAATGAAAACGCATGAATCTTAATATATAAGCATTAGAAATTTTGTTTAGTACTTTAAATAGTGTAAAACTCATTTAAAATAAAATTCAATTAGTATAAAAATGTGACACAAATCTGTAAATAAGTTGATCTTTAGATTGTCGATCTCTTGAATGTTCAATAATAAGAATAATTTCTACTGAAGAATTGATTTTATTTGTGAACAAACATTAACTACTTATGTCTTATTCAATTAAATAGAAATAAGGTACTCACCTGTACTTACCATGAGATTTACTAAGTTTAATTTGATTAATTTCCAACGACATAAAGCGCAACACTTAACGCATTTTTTTAAAATTTAAAATAGAGACCACCTATCTTTAATGTTTAGCAGACTAAAACTATCCAACAATATTTTGATTCATTCTATTTCTTATCAATGATTAATGTAGAATAAAAGTCTTTTCTGTTACACGCAATCTCATGTCACTCTCTTGCGAAACATGCATTTTAATCCGATCGTAAAGTCTTCATTACTCTGCCAGGTGAATAAATACTAAATAGAGAACGTTTATTGAGTCAGCTTGTTAAATTTATCACAAATAATGTAGCTGTGTATTACAAACAATTCATTTTCCCAGGAATTGGTCTATTTCCACTAGACTGCAATAAAACAACTGAAAGATGCGAACGTGAAGCAATGTTATTATTTGTAATTTTTTTTGTAGTAGAGGAGTAATTTTCACTTGGTAATGGAATTGTTTCTTTTTCTTTTTGTGATAGTTTCAGTTTTTATTTATGTTTAGTTGATATTGAAAGTTTAGTTGACATTTATTTTCAAACAAAATACACTGTAAAAAATTCTGGTTCAAATTACGTTATAAAATACCGGCATCATTCGTAAAATCCATTTTATTGTGAAATATATTTTTAACGTAATGTATTAAACCGTAATTTTACCTAAACATTTTTTCAATTAAAGTGAGTCAGTGATTTTATAGCAATTATTACAGTAAAAATTATAGTATATCAGATTTTTCCGCAGCATGTTCCGATAAAAATGGATTTTACGGTAAAAAGTAACGCCGTTTATTTTAACGACAGTTTGATCCGGAGTTTTCACAGCTTTGATGTATTATGTTAGATTTTTACAAAAAGGAAAAAAAGAAAAAAGAAATGAATTTTAAGGAAAATATTAAAAAAGCTTTTATATTATTTGATTAAAAAATTCATTGTAATTCAAAACATAGGTAGATGGAAACAAAAGTTGACATGTTTCCAGCGCTTAAAAACAGACACCCATTCTCAAGATCAGCCAGACGTGAATGAGAAGAAACAAAAGTGATTTGAAGTATAAACGTAAAGTTGCCAATGTTTGCTTAAAATTTGATAGTTTTTTTTTTAAATCAAGTAATATCTTACCGCTTCAGTTTCTTGGGGGTCATTTATTTTATAAGCTTTAATATTACTAACAATAAGAAATCTTGTAAGTATTGAAACTTTTGTTTTGCACACCAGTGTCCATAAGTTAGTTAGATTTTTTCCAACAAACTAATCTTTAATGTAAGAGTAAATATGGTTTAATATTAAAAAAATCATGTAAATATCGAAACGCTTGTTCCGCACACCTGTGTTCTAAAACTGAGCATAATAGTATAATTCTTAAATGTGGAAAAGTGCTAAAATTTATGCTTGATTCTTATACACCAGCGAAATTCTTGAACAGATATAGTAATTCTGCCCAGGGAAAGATAACATTGCTTTAAAAAACAAAAAAAAACTAATTTGGGGGGGGGGCGAAATAATAGTACATGTGAATAAATATATACTAATAGAAGAAATATACTGATAGAAATTATATACTAATAGAAAATAAATCTGGAGGTTTTAATTCTCCGTATTTTTTAAAATCCTTCAGCTGCAACAATACATCACTTATTTGATGAAGAAAATTTCAAATTTTGGATACATTACCAGTTAAAAATATATTTAGAATATTTTAAAAAATGATAGTTTGAATATACTTACAGACCATAAATTTTGCTTGCTCATTTCTTAATTTATTTGAAATAAAAATGAAGCAGTTTTATTATTTTGAAATATTGTTTGAAAAATGAGTTTCCATATCTTATCACTGTAGATTAGAAATATCTCTAGCATGCTTTTTTAAACAATATTATCGTTAACAAATAAAAAAAATAGCACAAAAGAAAATTGATACACATTCAATAGAAAGGTAATAAAGAAATATTAAAGTGCCGAAACACACGAACATTAGAGAAAATGTAATAATATTTAAGACGCTCGCTTTAAAATCTTATATGAAAAACAAATATCATAACTTTTTTACGCTTTTTCGAAATGTTCTTAATTAATATTTTCAATGTGAGCAACGTTAATCACGAATAAAAACTCACTTTTTAAGGGTAGAAACAATGTTTCCAAAATTTATCTTTAACTATGTACTTCAAATAAGACTATTAAATACAGCTGGGATATGATTATATAATACAATACAATGTATAAAGCAATAATAAAATTAATAAAAAAAACATGGAATGAGGTTACATACAAAAATTGTTAACCAATTATTAAGAAATAATAATCAATAGTTAATATAAAAGATATATTAAGAAATACTTATTACTGAATCCTTTTTTTGCCTCGAAACTGATGATGGTACTTGCAACAGTAACGAAACGGCAGTTTGTCTTTGATTTTTCAAGAAAACAAATTCGATTTGTGTATTTTAGGTTGTTTTCTAGTTTGCTATAAAGCAATGTTAAGGGTTTCTGATATTCGATTTTGGATGAAAGTTTAATATCAATGAAGAAGTTTATGACAAAAAGGAAATGATTGCGCTAGACTTTATTTAAAGTTAAATAAAGTTAATGTGGTCGATATTATTTTTGAAAATATCAACCATTCACTGCTTGAATTCTTTATTTCACAATTAAGTAATCAATAATACAAACTAATAGGAATGATAAGAAATGATCATAATTTAAATAATAGTTTCAATTCATAGTTAGTTCTATTAAAACTTAAATCTCTTATGAGAAACAAAACTGTTTCGTTTAAATCAAATTCGCAAATTTCTCATTGAATATGATATAATATTTTAATTCAAGCCAAAAAATAAATTTTTTTCTTTAAAAATTAAATTAAATAATTTGCACGGAAATTTATTTTAAAAAATCGCAATTTTAAGAGTAAAACTGAGTATTTTAGTTTCTAAAATTCGTCTAGATTATATATTTTCAATAAAAAAAAACTGACTAGAGTAATAAGGTAGTAAAAAAGCCTCAAAAACGAAGGTCTTTTACATGAAAGAAAGAAATATGCTTTTTAACCAAGGTGCAAAGATAAGATATATGATTCAGATTTCTTTTTTTTTTAGTGTTTAGTAACACAGCCTTTTGTTTTTGCAAACATAATTTTTATCAAATTACGCAATATAGTCACTTTGTAGCAAAAAAAAAAAAAAAAAAAAAAAAAAAAAAAAAAAAAAAAANAAAAACATGACACAAAATGTTTATACAGAAATGTTACATAAAATTTTAAAGGCAAATGTAAGCTATCTCAACAATTTTACAATGGGTAGCAGAGAGAGATAGTGATTGTAATTTTTATAGAAACAATAATCCGAACAATGGAAAAAAGTAATAAAGTTAAATTAAAATAAATTACAACCGGTATCTTTAATGACAAGAAATGACTAAATAAATGTACAAAATCTGATGTTTGGGGCATTACATCCCAGTAATCATGATTATCACTACTTGATTAAAAAGTTTAGCAAAAATACTTTTATTAACTTCAAAAATATACAAATTAGAAATAACAGTTGACATGTTTCAGGCGCTATAACAGATGCCCATTTTCAAGACTGGCCGGACTTGAATGAGAGGAATATAAGTGATTTGAAATATGTAAAGTTGCCAACGAGAAATGGAAAAATAATGGTGAGCAACTAAACTGGAAAGACCACAGTAGCCGAGAGTGAGTAAAAGATATAAAACAGAACAAGAAAAACTGCGCTAACCGAGAGGGGCAATTCAGGGTCAAAGTTTTTTTTTACTGACCAGAAACAAAACGAAAAAAAAAAGTTTCCTTTTTTTTTAATTATGAAAAACTATTGCATTTAAATTATGAAAAAAAAAACATTGAAGTCATGAAACTTTGATACTGTGGCGTAAAAATTGCTTGAATTATTTAACCACTTTTTACTTTTTTTTAACAAGAAAAGACACTCTCTTATTTTTTTTGTGTTTAAAAGTGTGACATTTAACATTATGAGGAAAAAGTTGCAGTGGTGAAAGTGGAAACTTCCCATGGAAGAATTCCCGAATTTTTACAAAAATATTTCGCAAAAAATTTATTCAGTAAAACTTTATAAGGACTTATATGCATATTTTAAGAATTTTAATAACTCAAAATTCCTCAGTATTAACATTTTTCTTTCTAATGACAGAAATGTTTAGAAAATTGGCTCATGAATGGAAAAAATATTGACATTTATCATAGAAGTCACCATCGCTATTTTCTTAAATTGAATAAAATTTTAAAAATTCAAAAAAAAATTTTTTTTAGCTGTTCATTATAAAGAACTTTTCAACAATTTCTTTTTATTTTAATATATGTCATTCAATAAGTTCTGAATTGAGAGTGCAGCTCAATTCGGGAAGAGTGTTCACTTCAGATGTTTCAGAATTGAATCTAAATTAAATTTTTAAAATTATTCACCGCATTCTCATTAATATTTCTGTATTAAATTAATCGTGTACTTGTCTCAAACTTTAGGGGCATATTATAAAAAAAGTTGAATCAGTAACCATTGACGGATTTTGCTTTTGCTATACTTAAAGTTTTCTGTTCCAGAAAATTTCATACTTGTCCAGTTTTGACAAAGGCAGATAATGACCTTGAGAATTGTGCAAAATTTCTATTTCTTACTCGTTTAAGGTCAGTTTTTAGATCACTCAAAATATACTTATGTTTATTTTTTTAGTTACTATTCATTAGTATGTATTCGCAGAAATATATACCTTTGTGGTTCACTGTTGGTACTAGTAGATTCAATTGGTCGTAGAAAATAGTCTTTTTCGAAAAATTTTGAATGACCGATGACCTTTGATGCAGAAATGTCTTAATAGTTAACTCGAGTGTAGTAGAACATAAAAATAATGGTCAGTGTCGTGATTCATTCGTTTCACTAAAAGCATTTCCACTTGTAAGTCGATGTGTTTCTTAGAAGAATTTCAGTTTTGACCACCCAAAACTTCAGAAAAAAAAATTTCGCAAAAAAAACGAAATTTTTTTAACACATATCTATTCTGAAAATTTAAAAAATAAAATAAAATTTTTTTTTAAAAAAAGTGGATCTTAAATACATGGAGAGTCTCCTTATCTCCTTTTTTCTAAATTCAGGAATATATCTTTGGAAGGTCATCTCAAAGCGTCAAAAATATGCAGAGATTTTAACACATTTATTAACATAGATTATACACTTTCTGCAATGCACATTTTTGCATATTTAATTAACTATCTTAAAGTCTAATAACTCTTTCTTCCCATTTTTAATATCTGTTAATTAAAAATTCACAGCTCTAGAAAAAATTCGGTAGTTTGAAACACAACATTAGAACAAAAACTTACACACCAGCCCTAAATATTTGGTCTCCAATGGCAAGCTGATGAGTGGAAATTTCGTGCCCTGTATTGCATAATATACGGAAAGCTTAGATACCACATTCTGTTTTAATAATGTTTCTTATATTTTATTCTTAGTTAGTTAGTCCGTAGCTAGTCCTCGAACGATTTTAATTTTTATGTTGGACATAGTATTGCATTTTGACCGAACGTCATACATGCTCACGCACCATGTTCTAGTATATTTAATTTTAAAAGGATATTCTACTCATCTTCCAAGCAAAGCTTTTAAAATATGCGTGCTTTTCTCATTATGGCTCAACCGTTTTGGAATTTTAATTATTTAAACGTGCGCTGCCTGCTACAAAAGAAAGTTCTTTAATTATACGCATCAAAATAAGCATCTGATTTCAAATTGTTTTTAATAAAAACATTCATATTGTATTCTAGAATGTTCCTCGGCTTAACGAAAATGTTGTAAATAGTATAAACAAAAACAAGTAATAGTTTCCTGCTTTTTTTTCTTTTATTTATATGTCCCTTTTTTCAAATTCATCAAAAATTTCACGCATGATATTTTTTTGTTCAATTCTTTTAATATAAACTACATAACTTTATTGTTATTTTGTACGAATCCTTGGTGTCTACCATTAACTAAATAACACCTGAAATGACGTCAGCAAAATGGGACGCAAGAAATTTTAATTTTGGTTGGCGCATTAAAAAAGTATGAAATCGTATAATCAAGTATAATAATCATATAACGATGACATATTATACGAAAATGATAAAATCTTTGCTGTAAGAACAGTGTGCTTTTTGTGCATTTTAATCTACAAACATGACTTGACTGATGATAGTCTTTCTTGAATTGCAACTGATCGTTTATTTGATAGCTATATTCTAAGTCATCATTAATTCATCCAATTATACAGGGGTTTCTCGAAATACAATCCTTAATATATAGTATGGCAGAGGTTGTTCTCCATCAGTGGCCGCCATTAATCGCAAAGGGAATTTTACTTGCCCATACCAAAATACATCTGGATTATGAAAATACTAAAAATGATAATGTCCAGGAAACAATATATAACTCGTTAAAATGAAAATTTACTTTATTAAGCATAATTGGTGATAGAGAATGGCCATCGATATAACAAATTATCAAAAATAAATCCCTTAAAGGGATCCAGAAAATATAACTTCGTTATTAAGAAGTTTTGTTAGCATTCCGTTACGATTGCCTTTTTTAAAACCGGGCTGGGACAGGAGCGCCCAAAGGACACTCCTAGTCGTCAAAAATTTCGAATTAAAAGTCAATACAATTGTTCCAAACGAACACAGAAAGTATGGGTAGGAGATCCAAAATTGGCGAATTATCAAAATATAACATAGCCAAATCAAAGCCAACCAGCATATCAATATTGAGTTTAAAGGAACACCTTGGCGATCACGAGTCGCTAACAAATTTATGAGAATTATTACAACCATGCAACCAAAACATTTAGCGGTTAGAAATTTAGAATAAGAAGTTATTAATAGATTTTTGTTTTCGATTAGAGGCGACAGTGAATTAATAAGTCTGCATTAGTAATGAAATAAAAAGTATCCGTCTAAAAGCGAAGAATAAATATTTTGCGTTCGTCTAAAAGATTAAATGTTTGATTTATTTTAAATATAATTCTATTAATAAAAATAAGCTTAAGTAATGAAAGATATTTTAAAAGGATAGAAAATAAATATGTAATGCCAATTGTGGCATCACATGTAGTTTTATAATTCTTATCTAATCTGAAAAAAAAAGTGTATACGCCAAGAGTTACAAATTAATATCTAGAATATATTAATATCTAGCTTATTCATCAAAATTACTTTTCATCAAAATATTACAAATGACGGTTACGGAAGATGTGTCACAAAACATAAAATCCAGTTTGATTAAAGGTGTTTTTAATAATTGTTTTTAAATTCTTCTCTGTTCCCTCACAGATTCAAGCAGGTTTTGATGTTCTGTACACTCGCCTTCTTCATTTGTCATTTGTCTGATTTTGATAGTGTTTGCACTTTTTTTTCAACTTAAATATTAATTTGTATCTAAATATGATTTGCGTGTATGGTTTATTTTCTTTATTTCTGTTAAAGATGTAAGATTCTTGAAACATATATTAAGAACTTTTATGCAATATCTTATTGGGTGGTCTTAATGATTCAGAGCGTTTTATTTCTATAGCGTTCTTTATTTCTGTTAAAGATTCTCGAATGCAATATTCTTGAAACATATATTAAGAGCTCTTATGCAATATCTTATTGGATGGTCATAATGATTCAGAGAGTTTTAATTTGCTTTAAGTCTAGTTTGAACTGCCACATAGTGAACGGTATTGGTTATAAGGAACTTTGACGATATTGAGAGTTGCATTAGCGTAGATTCTGATGAATGGTTTCAATGATTTAAAGCATTTCAATTCAATTAAATCTAGCGTGAAAGACTTCATAATAAAATATATTGGGGTCAGAAACTTAAACAATATTGAGAGTGGTCATTAGGGAGCATCCAGAAAGGTTGCCTTTATGATTTAAAAATTTGAGTTTCCATAAATCTCGCATAAACGGCATAGTACTGGCTGTGAAGATTTCGACAATATTGAGAGTTTTCGTTAGGAAACATACTGCGGATCGGTGTTTAGGATTTAAAATTTTTAATTTGCTTAAATCTAGTGTGAACGACCACATAGTAAACGATACAGGTTCACATTGAACATTAATTGGCATAATATAAATTTAGCTATGACATATTTTCCTATTTATGAAACTCATAAGGATTGTCATCAATAACAATAAGAAAGATTAAATCTCCGCAATTTTGCCATGAAAAGTCATAAAATATAATTGGGCAAATACTTGAAACGTATTTAAGTAAACTCTATCTCCAAAGAGAAGTATTGCATCGTAATAATTCGTTCCGTGATTCTACTAAAGTATGGAGTTTACATTAAAACGTTTTTTCTGTGTTGCACTTTTTGCAACGTATGTTACAGGAACTCAACTTCCAACCATGTCAATGAAGGAGTTGTTGAATATTGTTGATTGTATCAGTGAATGTAAGCATTTCTTATTTTCCTTTTTATATTCTTTATCTATTCTAATATCATCAAATCTGTTGCACAATTTTTTAATTATTTTTGAAGCATTGTAACATACCAAAAACGCATGTATTTACTATTCAAACCATGTTTATCTGGATTCATTATTCACGATGTTGCGTAATAAGATGTAAAAATGAACCATGTATCGTTTGAAGTTAAACCATTGTATCGCTTAATTTAATTTAAGAAGTTAGAAAATATGGTTCAACTTGAGACCATATTAAAGTGAATCAAAATCGAACCATATAATAGTTCAACGGATTGTCAAACAGTGAAAACTCAGTCATACTAAACTTGCTTCAGGTTTAAAACGATTTATGCCCTCGATATTTTAGACCTAAAAGGATTAATGCGCGCAAAATATTCCTTTATTTTTTTAACTTTCTGGAGAAAAAAAACTATAACCGAGTAATGGAAACATTTATTATTTCTCAATAATGCATTTAAATACCGATAAATAATCATATAAAAACTGTTAGGAACAATTTAAAAGGTTCAGAAACAATGAAAAGAATTAGAAATGACAAGAAATAAAATATTTTTTTTATTAATATTATTTGTATAGTCATATAATGAATTATTTCTCTTTTTTTGGTGGGTGTTTTGACACTTCATTATCTTCTATTTTTATGTTTTAAAGAAGGTCCTCACAAAAAAGATAATTTCTTTATGTTTATCTATAAGGAATTATAAACCCGGAATTTCTTTACTGACAAATGAACAGTTTTTAGTTTTGCAAATAACCTATTATTTTTGTTTCATATATTTCACTAAAATGTGTTTTATTTATGTTAGTAACGAATTTTAGATTTTAAGGCTGAAAATATTTTCCAAACTTTTTCAAAGATATATAACTCAAGTCTTATAAATACTAACTACCTTAAAATTTGCACATGAAGTATTAAACATTTCAAGAATAAAATAAAACAAAAAGTATTCAAAAATATGAATTATTTATTGAATAAATTAGGAAATTCCGGACATATTAGGTTTACATCTAATAACATTTTCGTAGGTTAACATTTAGAAAATAAAATTCCCCCTTTTTTTTTCTTTTTTTTGTCAGAAGGAAATAAATAAATAAAAAAGTAAATTCTGCATATTTATGATTACTTCGCTCAAGTTTGTAAAAAAATAAATTCTGCATATTTATGATTACTTCGCTCATGTTTAGGTTATTGACCTCAATTTTTCAGTTTATTTTTATTTTTGCCCTTCTTTTATTTTTAATTTACTTTTAATGAAATGTTTTATGAATTTCTGTTAATGTGTATTATTGTCTATACCGAACTCATTGTTGATCTTTATTATATTTCCTAGCAAGAGATGAGGATGCGTGTGAACATTTTCACAGATGTAACCAGATGATGCCAACAGACGTAATTATTAAATACTAATCTTGTTTTGTTTTCTAAATTGTAGGAAAAAAAAATTATTAGTCCTAAATCAAGGAAAGAAAAACGAATCAGTGAAGTTTACTTTTTTAATATAAAAATCTATTGTTTCCAAGTATTTTAAAGTTAAGATCAGTGAAATTTACTAGCTTATAATTTATTCCTATTATTGCTAACTTATAATGCATTATGTATTTATACTATTCGATCCGAAAAAGAGTTCATTGTAAATTGTTTAATATATAATTTATTCCTATTATTGCTAACTTATAATGTAGGGGTGCACAACCTTTTTGAGTGAAGGGCCACTTGCACAGCATGTTGGCTGACGAAGGGCCGCACATGTATTTAGACATGTTAATGACAAATGTAATAATGTTTATTTAAACATTATCGTTCTATTTTTTTTATTAATAAACTTAGTAATATCAATAACTTAGTAGTGTTCCATTATTAGAATTCATTCAAAAATAAAAAAACTAATAATTTTTTTTTTCTANATAAAAATTCGGAATTTTCGAAATCACGTAGAAAAGCGGAAATAACTGTTTAAAAAAAATCATTTATATTTACTATAAAATCGGCTTAAAGAAAGCGCGTTAAACGAACATTTACTAAAGAATCTGTTAAAATTGATTGTGTTAAAACGTGATGACTTAAAAGTGCGATTAAAAATTGCCATTTTTTAAAATTTTTTTATTGTGTTTAGAAGCTCTCGCGGGCCGCACTTCAGTAGTCGAAGGGCCGCATTTGGCCCGCGGGCCGCAGGTTGTGCACCCCTATTATAATGCATTATGTATTTATACTATTCGATCCGAAAAAGAGTTCATTGTAAATTGTTTAATATATAATTATTTTAATTTGTTATGTCAGATAAGAACAATGATAAAATGGAACGAGGTACGTGGTAGCATAGGCGGACTCACTAATCTGTACATATTACTGGATTGCTGATTCAAAGCTTCGAGCTGAAAGCCCATGTAGGTGAAGAACTTGGATGAGTTGATGCATATAGGATATCCATAATTTAGCATTACCTCTCTCATAAAGTAAATCCGCCTGAAAGGGTAACAAATAATAAATAAATAATTAGGTACTTGCAACATGAGAAGAAGATGATCTCTGATACACAATAAGTCTGCATATCTATGATCTCAGCACCAGCTGATCGTTTATGAATAAGATGATAAGTTAAAGTCGAGCTAAGTTTCTCCACATAAGTTAAAATACTAATTAACGTGAGCTGAATTAAATACTACACCGTATCGTGCATCGAATTTGTTAAAATGTAATTCTTTCCCGTCTACGTATTTTATTTAACTTAGATTTATTATTTGCTTACGTATTTTACGATATATTTTTGTGTGCCTGGCAACTTCAATGCATAATTACTTTCTTTACGTTCTGCACAACTTTGCATTTACTTTTGAGTTAAGTAAGAAATATATAGAGAAAGATTTGAAACCTTTGAAAACAAAAGAGCCTTTGAAATCAAAAGAACAGTTGCTAACGTAAGCAAATGCTTCGTTTCAACAGCCTATCAGGATCTAAATACCCTGAGCACTTCACATGCGGGTATCTCATTGTTTTCACTTTTATAATTTTGTCGGTAGATGTCCATCAGTTTGGTGTATGATTTCATAGTTTTATTCGGTGCCGAATTATTAATTATTTATTTATTTTTTACCTAGTACGAGGAAAAGGTATTCAGCTAATTTGCAATGAAATAAAAATTATGGTATATTTACAAAATGGAAACATTCTTTAAGGTATAAAACTAAACTTCTTTATTTAATAAATAAAGAAGTTTAGTTTTATACCTTCTTTAAACATATTAAAGTCAGTGTGAACAATTTTCCAGTGTGATCAAAGTTATTGTGACCTTCGTATGGTTTAGAGTTTTTTATCGATTCCAAATTTTTCATTTTAAACAAAAAGCATTAGATTACGGATGAGTAATATTTCTTTGCACACAACAATAAAGACGCGAAACACTGTAACAAAGCGTTAAGTAAAACATTCGCAGATTTAGGTACTTAATTTCTTAGTTAAACTTTGAGATATTATTCAAAAATTATCTAATTTTATGACCAAATCATGCCAAGTCTTTAAAAGAATACTTAAATAATATAAATAAAAACAATAATTTAATCCTAACATTTATTAATACCTATTAATATGATAAATAATTAATTTAATCTCAACATAAGCTTAAACTTCAGAAACTATAAAATATATAAAAATGCTTCTTAAAATTCAAATATTTGCAAAAAATACTGTAACAGCTTTTTTGGGCATAAAGGAAGCTAAAATCTTATTTTATACAGATCTATGAAACATTTAAAGACTGCGAAAAAAAAGTTGAAGCTCATGACTGCTGTGCACCTGGAAGAAAAATGTTTCCTTCTACGGATATACCTCCAAAGGTAAGAAGGCCAAAAACGTTGAATTTTTTTAAAATTGTGAATGGAGATTATAAATTTCTGAATTTAAATTTTAAAATTTAAGCTTTATAAACTTGTCTTTTTTTCCTTTAATTTTTTCTTTGTTTCAAAATAAGCCCCCCCCCCAAAAAAAACAGTTTTTTAAATTTACATTCCACCATTGTTTCATTATTTTCCATTGTGTTTTTCTTTTCTTAAAAATAAAAACATTTTTGTGTTATTATTTTTGTATATAAATTTTTTAACCCTTTTACGTAGATATTCGAGTGCTTGAATGAGAGATATCCTCAAGTAAGTAAATTCGAATTTTTTTAAAAAAATATCTCAAAGTGTTTCTGTTTTTTTTTTTTTTTTTTTTTTTTTTTTTTTTTTTTTTTTTTTTTTTTTTTTTTTTTTTTTTTTTAAATTGAATGCTATGTTTTTTTTAAATTGAAGGAATGGGAAAGAGGAGAGGAGCATAGTAAACAAATATCTCAAAATATAGCAAAATATGAACAATCAATGATTATAGTTTTACTATTTATAGTTTATATTACTATTTATAGTTACTATAATATTATTTATAGTTTGCTAAGACAAAAAAACGGAGTACTTCGAACAATTTTTGATCTTATAATCGAATTTTCATATACTAAGACTCTTTTTTTTTAGTTCGCTGGGTAGACATTAAATATGGTAAATAATTAGTACAGACGATGTTTTAAGTTGCGAAATCAGACACAAAACGTGTTTTCCCTGAATAAATATACCAACTTTTGACGGATTTGGGTTGCTTAACCTGAAAATATGGCGGAGGGCCACAATCTTAAAAATATGGTTCAAAATTGTCTAGTCAGGAGAGTGAACCAATTAATGTTAGTATTTTTTGTACATTTCGTTATATCTCGAGAACTTTTCAAGCAAATTGATAATATTTTAGACACAAGTATGAAATTCGTTGATTCGCAAAAAAATTTTTTAATCATTATTTCATTTTTATTTTCTTACAATAGTCGAGAAAATTATGAATTATAAGGTATAAACATTTAAACACGAATTTAAAAAAATGAAATTTCATAAGATAAAATAAAAAATTAGAATTAAACCGATAAAATAAATCTTAAGAAATCGAATTTTAAACTTACGATTTTTTAAAAATATATTTTCTTAGGAACTATGGGACCGATTTCGTTCAAGTTTTAAATCTTTATACTCTTCAAACTGACGTAACAATTTGATTACCTTACGAATTAAAATTATTTTGATAATAAAATAATAAATAATTATTAAAAATTATTTTTTGCATGGAATTATTTCTGGAAAAATCCTTGTGTGCAAAAAAGTTTCAAATAGTTTAAAAAGTTCCCGTGATATAGTGAAATATGCAGAAAGTAAAATTAAAATAAATAAATTCAAACTTTTGGCCGCTTTCCTGGCTTAGCTACTGAGACCATATTTCTCAAATTTCTGTTACCGTCATTATTTAAGGAATCCAAATATCTCTTAAAAAAAGGCGTGTTTACATTCAGAATGTTCTTTTTTGCGCAATGTACATATATTTTAAGTTTTTACAAAAATAAACGTAACTTATGTGGGAATTATACTGAGATATGAAGGTATCTCTGAAGATCTTTGTCGAGGGAAGATGGGCTCCGACATGCTCGCAGAAATCTCATCATAAAATCTTATAATCTCGGTTCTTAGCACAAGATCAACGAAACAATGAAATACTTGCGGTTTCGCAACCAATTCACTTTTATTTCTGCTCTCTTTGTTTAAAAATAGACGTTTTGTTATTTTCTTCATCATGTTAAATATTAGGAAGCACTTCAATGGTTGGTTGGTGTCGTATCCTCTATAGAATCATATTTCATGGTGTGCTTGAATAGTTTTTGTTATTTCTATTGCATTAAAAGAATACAAATCCTCTTCTGTGGGGTAGTTTAAGAGGTGAAGGCCTGCAGCGACTGCAGGGCAGTTAAAAACATGATATGGTGTCAGTTCCACATTAAGACAGTTGCCACAGTTTCGATATTTTCTAGTCTTATCTGTAGAAATTTTCATGTTTTTATGATGTTTTGTTCTTAGTCTGATGAGAGTCGTGGCTGTCTTCCTAAGCACTTCAATTAAGTCCATAATGGGAAGTCTTTTCTTATAAAACTTTGTCGTGTTTATCAATCTACAAGAGTTTCTGGAGATCAAAACAAGCTTACACTGGCTGCCAAGAGCTCGAGCTCTTTGATAGAACTTTTTTTTCAATGAGTCGAGAAATTCCGTAAAACGATAGCAACTACTCAATTATTTTTTTATGTTTATTATACCCTAGAATGTTTATTATACCCTAGATGATTTTATTTCCTTTTTTATCAAAAAACAACTTTCAAAATAATTTCTCAAAAATATTTCTCAAAATCACCAGTGATTCTCTTTGGTAAAGTGATTTCATTTTATAACATTAAATTTTTTTTTTTATAAAACTTGGAACCGGACATCTTAAATTGTAAATCTACAGGTGCATGATTGTTGACAAGATAATAAAATTCGATTTTGATCAAAGCCTGTCTTGTGCTTCACACAGGCACATAAAGCTTCGGGCGCTGAATTACAGCGTAGATTATACTTGCCGTTGGAGTATAATAAAATCAATAGAACTTAATTTTTCCTAATTTTGTGCCAGCTGAAGCAATTTGTTGCATTCTTTTGCGATTCTTTAAATGGTTATCTCGTGTATAGCCTATTTTCACTTTATCAATCACTAAGTAATCACTCCAATGAGTAAATAGAAATAGCGGGTATGTGTACATTTTCCCTATATAAAATTATCCAACTTCTTTTATTTAGTTTGTGTTTCGCTTATTCGATCATGCGCTCTTAAATGTGAAAGTGCATTTAAGGGTACTGCTCTAATTTATTAGCAACTAGGGGTTGTCAAGGCCTAAAAGCGATTGGTTACTATTATTATAATACATGTAACTAACAAATTTCTGGAATTAATAATTGAAAAAAAATAGTGCGTGGAGTCTCTCCTCGCGGAAGAAGTTAAACTTTGCAACCTGCTCTGCTACTCGCTTCCGTGCTCTGTAATCACGGTAATATTGTGCATTTTCCCCTCTTGAACCAGTGGAAGTGCTTGTGGTTGCCTCATCGTCTCGCCCTGGAAAATGTATTTGTATTAATAATGTATGACATACCTTGACATAACCTTAAATCCATCGCATTGTCCGTGGGATTGTTTTCACTCATTTTTACAATTGTTATCCACTAAATTTGAAGATAAAAAATACTACCCTATTAAATTATATGTGTATCAAATCAAACTAAAAAAATATTTATAGAAAAACAATACTTTTATGACTTTTATTATTTTTATGATAGTGAGAACCAAAACAATATGGAAATGAATGAAGGAAAACTGAATCCTACCACGTGATTTCCCGGCCAATAAAAACGTAGCGTTAAACGTTTAACGCAACCTTGTTGGAAGTCGCATAAGAAGTATAACTTCAAAAAAATATTAAAAGTTTCAACTATGCTTTGCAATAGTTGAACTATAGATAGAAATTGTATTTAATTACTGGATAATTTTTTCAAATCATGTGACGTTTTTTATCTCATGTTTCCTTTTTTAGGTTGAAGGTGAAGAACGAAGACAAATGATGAATTTCGAAGTAAGTAAATATACCAAGGGTTAGTTTCGTCAAGTAATTTTCATTTCATTCAGTTTCATTTCGTTTTTATATTTTTTTAATGAAATACGATTAACTGTTATTATTCATAAAGTACTTATAGGTAAAAAAAACAAATGATTAATTTTATAAATTAATATGTGTTACACAAATGAGCTTTACCGCGAAAAATACCGGATCAAATTACGGTATAAAGTACACTTTCAGCAGTAAAACTCTCACTTTTGACGATTCAGCAATCCTTGAGATGCATTTTGTTAATTTTGAGAATCATATCGTCACGAAATCACCTGATTTTTAAACGAAACGTAAACTCGCAAATATAAGACGAAAATCTTTCCTCAACTCGGAATCTCATCACTGAAGACTAGACGATCGAAACTAGAAAGACGTAATAAGCCCTCCGTTATGTATGGTGGTCAAGGAGTTACCAGGCCTATATGATGGTCATACCAGGAAAATCCCGAGTTAAAATTCCGCTTCGATCATGAATGCTTCGATTCTATCTGTCCTCGTTTTCTTGTGGTGAGATTGATCCGCCAGTATGCTGCCCTTGGAAACATGATCAACAATACGTTAGATGCTATGCTATGTATTTTTCTTTCTTTTTCGTTTTTGAAAAAAAAAGGACGAAATTTTTAAAAAAAGTTTTGATGAAATTCATTTCCTTGAAAAATTCACTTCCTCTTTCTGGTACCCGACAAACTCAGGCTGTTCTATGATGACCAAAAAATTACCTTCTTTTTTCGTCGTAACAAAAATGGGATCATTTCCACTCTCTTTGGCATCTGAAAGCACCCTCCTAGTTTTCAGCTTGCTGAAAAACGGGAAAAAACACAGCACATCATTATGCATTCGCTCGTTTTGTTTCAATAATGATTCAGGCTTAAACCATTCCATTGGTGTTGTGACTGCGGAACAAGCACTGACCACGCCAGTTTGTTTTCTAAACCGTGATTACTGCCTTCATAATTGATCCAAAACTTGGCACAATACATAGTAGGCAAAACTTGGCACAAAACATAATAGCCAAAACTTGGCACAAAGCATAAACTTGCCAAAACTTTGCACAAAACATAATAGCCAAAACTTGGCACAAAACATAATAGGCAAAACTTGCCACAATACATAATAGACAAAATTTGGCAAAAAGCATAATAGACAAAACTTGGCACAAAACATAATAGCCAAAACTTGGCACAATACATAATAGGCAAAACTTGGCACAAAACATAATAGCCAAAACTTGGCACAAACTCTCCAGCCAAAGCGTATTATAGCTGGTTATCATGATATATATACAAGAAGATTATAGGAAAGTGAATGTTAACTCAGCCTATCGATTATAATACTGTAAATATGCAGATGAGATTCTACAGACTGCAGTTCTCCTGCAGACTGCAAAAAAAGCACTTTTTGTAGATTAATAATTAGAAGTTATCGTAGAAATTACAGCTTCTTCACAACTTAATACAACTCCTTAGAGTGTAATAAAAAAAGACTCTGTAACTATTATCGTTACTTGATATCATTTATGTCATTTATGTTCAAGATGTTATGATGCGTCATTTATGTTCAGGAAACATGAGTGTCCCTATGTAACCTTCCTGGTCACACTATACAGTTATTTTACAGTATTTATTATCATAGGCAACAGGGCGAGAAATTTTTATGAGTCAAAAAGGTCAACAAGTTTCGATTTACTTCGAAAAAAATCATTAAATATTGGTGTTTGTATCAGTAATTCTTTTGCGATAAACATCAATTGGGTAAGCATTTTTTTAATTTACACATTAATCAATTAAATAATCATAATTTCCAGATGAATAAGCAAATAAAAATTTTCGAAATATTCATGATTTAAAAATATTTTCATCTAAAGTAAAAAATAAATTACTTGAAATTGCTGTTATTTATAGGAAACAAGTCTTTCTTTACGCATAGTTTAACTTTGCATGAATGTAAATTATTCAATTTAAAAATTGCTTACGATTTTTCAAAACATGCTTAAAAATTCTTCATGAAACAAATAGTTTTCTCATAATTATGAGAAATGTAGTCAAATGTTGTGTCTTTGTAAAGTTATTCTATTGTCACTTTGTTTACATAAGCTCAGCAAAGAATTTTTTTTTGCAGGATTGTGCACGAGAAGTTCACAAAACTTGCAAATTGCCTGAATATCAATCAATGGAATGATTGTTAAACTTGTTTTTTTCAGTTATGAAATTAGAAGTGAAACAAAGATGGTTCTTAATGAATAAAATTATTTTAGTATTTGTATTATTTTAGTACATGTATGTTCTCAGTACTCTGCATATATATACGTAGAAACTGGAACCTCCGTGCTTGCTATCGCTTATCTTACGCAATTAAATAAGCATTACAAATTTTTTCACTTACATCAGATTTCAATCTTTTTGCTGCAGTTGTATGAGCTGCATCGATGAAATTCATATTATTAATATTTCGTACAGCTAGTAAAAGTTAAGTTGTAAGTTGTTGTAGATCAAAGTTGTAAGCATGTAAATTATTCATAAAAATGAAAAGTTAATATTGGTTCAAAATTGCTTCAAATTACAACACTTTCCAGCATTGTAAATTTAAAAAAATTTTCCCCCTTAAATTTTTTGAAATATCAGCCTTATAATATTAGCATTAAATCATAGAATGATCACATTTTTATGATGATAATAAAATAATATTGCACAATATAGCATATTCATTCGAAAAAATTAGCAAAATCTGTAAAATCATTTTATTTAAGATTAGAGGAATTTTTTTTCATATCATCTTTTATGAATCAACAACTTATGAAGCTTCCCAAATTTGAAAAAAAATAATATTAAATTGCTTCAAATATTCTTGAAATGCTTATTAAACATCACATAACATGAAAATAATAAGCAAGCATTGATGCAATGTAGAGATAATATGGGCTATATATGCAACAAACAAATCTCTTCCTACACTATTCCGATCAAATCCTAAAGGAAAAATGAGCTGTATATTTTTAATATATTTCTCCTTATTAGCTTATTACGTCTACGGAACTCAACTTCCAACCATGTCAAAAAAGGAGTTGCTAAATATACTTGATTGTATCAGTGATTGTAAGTAGATTCTAATTGATATTAATATTATCCGTATAATTATTCTACGAAAAATACAATGCAATACTTAAATTCAATTCTAAAAACTGCTTTAACAGTTTTGGTATTTATTCCAGATGAATTCTATAATGCCAAAACAAATTATTTTGTACATTAATATTCATCAAATAAATTGAAATAATACAATAGCAAATTCAGCCTGTAAAATTTTTATTTCATTTGAAAAAGTCGTAAAATTTTCAAAATCTCAAAAACTAATAAAATCTAAAATTACTTGGGATATAAAAAATAATACTCTTGTAAATTTACTAAAAAAATTGCTAAATAATTTAGAATTATTTTGCACGTAATGAAACAAAAATTACACTCCTTTTTGGACTGTAAAATTGCCTTCAAATTATGCTTTAAAATTAAAAAAAGGGCTTAATTTACAAAGTGTAAGACTACTTTATTATGTGTATGTAGATTTTAATGTATCTATATAAATTTAGTATATGTTTGTAGATTTTGTTATCTAAGAATGTAGAATATTGATTTTCGAGTAATTCGACATTAAAGTTGATGTTTAATTTTCATCTCGTCACGTAATATAATTTAGCGAAAACTCTCTGCAGTTGAATTAGGATTTTTTTTCCAGCCACTTACTCTTAGGATTGAAGATGAGCAAAACGTTTTCCATTATTTAGATTTCTTTTTTTTTTTTGCAATATTTAAAGGATAAATTTGCAATATTTTACGAACGAATATCAGCTCAATTCTGAAATCGGAAAAGTGAACTGAAAAGAATGAAGCCAAATTTAAGGAACAGCGCAAATGCTTCCAAATGTTGCCTCTTAACACTATTAAAACAAAGTGAGAAGGAATTTAAAATATTTTTTTAATTTTTTTATTTCTAATGGCAAGGCAAAAAGTACAAATAGAAAGATGAAATAAATAACAAATACAAATGTACGTAGGATAACAAAGAAGGAAGACCGAAGTCATTGCCTTAAAAGTTCTACATAGAAGCAGGTGGTCCCGGCCTAATTTCTCTCCAGATTTACAAAGTGCACAAAAAGACGTGGTGGAAGGGCCTATGCGGTATAAGTGAGCAGAAAGACAATCGTGGCCTGTATATAAGGAAATTAAAATATAAAAGCTGGAGTAATAAATAAGCCTAAGAAAAGAGGGAATGAAATAAAATCAGATCACGAAACAGCATGAAAAGTGAACTGTTACGGGAATTGGGGAGAATCGAATTTTTTTTAAGGGGACCCGGAATCTCGCAGAATTTCGTATACCGTCCATGTTAAAAAAGTCATTTTTACTGTACCTTTTCCCAGAATTTAGCGAAGATAACGGCTTGAAATTTTTTACATGACATGAGCTTCATAAATTGATTAACATGAGCTTTTATAAATTGTTTATTTCAAACTAAAAAGTTTTTGTTGAGCAATGTCAAAAAAGGGCAAAAAACCGAAGATTTTAAACTTTAAATTTTTTAAAAATTATGCTTAATAAATTTTTCCACAAAAACTCATGCTGAATTAAAGTATAAAACTTTATAAATATTGTAATTTTTTTTTTAACTCTGTAACTTTATTATTTTTTCAGAAAAGGTACTTCTAGTTTCAATAAAACTCATTTTGAGATACGAGGCAAATTGTCTAATTTTACATTAAAAAAACTAATAAAAACTTTCAATCATAAGTTTCTTATTATTTTCCTGGTTTTTATACATATATACACTTAATTACTTAGATTAAGATATATTAAGCTAGTAACATTATGGTTTTAAAGCCTAAAAATGTGCGGAACGCAAAATGATATTTTTTTTCCAAAAATACTCATATTTGAAGAATTTTTATTATAAAAAAAGATAGATACATTAACACTGCTATTTATAAATCAAACAATAATAAAAAACATTAATAAAAGAAAATGTAGCAATTAATGACATTCAAAGCAACATTTTAAAATGCTGCTGATAATAAATGAAGCAAAATGAATTATTACATTTTTCGATGTTTGTTCATCCGTCAGACTTTCGAACAAATCACAGCTACTTATCTTACGTCTAGAAGTAGAATTGTCTAATGAGATTTTATCGACATGGTTACATTGTATTTTTGATTCTCTTCCCCCAAAATTAAAAGCCTTACGCTTTTTAAAAATATTTCCAGTGCGACCCATGGCAAAAAAATGAATCAAAATCAAAACACACGCTTCAAAATATCAACAAAAACAAATAAAAAGATAGCTTATTTAACAAAAACAAAGAGTTTTTTAACGTAATAAAGATAAAACAAAGCAAAAATAATATAATATTAACAAAAGATAGTTAAAATTAACAAATGATTCTAAAAATATCAAAACAACATGCTTGCTTCGCAATATTTCTGAAAGATAAACAGAGTTCATGAAGTCAAAGTATAACAATCTTTCACTTAAATAAAGGGTAATCTAATAAAGCTAAAATAAGTAAAAATTATTAGCTGCATTCTTATTATACAATTTGAAGCGAAATTAAATCGAAGCGATATGTCAAATGTCGTCTGCATTGAAACCGAAGCCATTTCGTTTGCTCGAATTTTTTGACATACCTGAGTGTTTCGAAAAATAAATTAAAATACTTCTACTAATCGGAGAAATATAAACTTGGTATCGTTGGAAAGAAGAAAGTTCAAGTTATTCAACGAAATGAGAAAAATATTTTCGAAAATTTTGACATTTTTCACTTTTCGGGTCCCAACCGACATATGTTTGTTTTTACATTTGTTTTAAATCACTTTTGGTAATATATTGTATAGCTAGAAATGAATATCAGCAAAATACTGCGTATTATAATAATTTTTTGTTAATTTGCTTTATACTCTTAGCGTTAGTTTGTGTATCGAAACACTGAGTATTAAAAGTTGTCAGTTTTATGTAATAAATATTATGAAATAAGTATAAAATTATCATTTCTTATCATCGTGATAGCTAAGAGAATTGAGCGTTTGTCTCCCAATGAGGTTAACCGGGCTTGAATCCCAGAGATGACTGATTGATACGAATTCCGCATCTGGTTTGCACTGACCACAGTGCTGACGTAAAATATCCTTATTGATAGACAGATCATGAGTTAGAGTGTCCCTGCAATCAGGCTGACCGTGGGGGTTTTCGTGGTTTTCCTCTCCATGTAACGTAAATGTTGGTTAGTTCCACCAAAAAGCCCTCCACGTAGGCAAAATTCTCCCAATACTTGATCCAGGAGTTCCCTTGTCTTCTGGGTTGGGTTCAAAACTGTAAGACTACGGAATTGAATATTAGAAGTCATAAACCCAAAAAATTGGGTCAGCTGTTTAACGACGGTTTTAAAATAAAATAAAATTTGCTGTTGTTTATCCCTTTAACCTCTTACCGATAAAGATTCCTAAAATGTCGTTCACCGTTTAAATTGAATCTTTATTTACAAAAGATCGATAATTGTATGAAATTGATTTACGTACATTTCTTTGATTATAATTATGCAAAATTTTAAATCTTCGCTTTTCGATTAAAGAAATGGGAAAAAAAACTTCTAAATTTCTTACAAGTAAGCGATAAAAGTATAGTTAGTAGAATCATTTTTGAGACTTGTAAAAACAAATAATTAGCAAATATAAATTATATATTTTAACGAAACAAGGAGCGATGTTATTTAGTTAATCAAATGAAACAGCATATTTGTAATGATATAAAATATTGAGTAATAATTGGAATGACAAGTTTCTTCTTTTTTTTCAAAATCAAAAGTTTATTTAATATGAAAGTCACATAACGATTTCATAAATGCCTTAGTTATTAGTTTTTTAATCAGTAATCATTAGTAATAATTTAGTTCTTTATTTAAAGTATAAATTATTACATTAACCTTGAAGTATAAACTACTTACAAAAATGATTAGGATATATCCTACACGGCATTGATGTTATATGTTAACATTAAGTAACATATTTTTCATCATTGTTGCCTTTGCCCAGAACAAGAAATATTTTTTGACACAATTACGTTAATATTCAAATTTTTAAAACCCGATTTAGAAACTAATATATTATAAACTGTTTTTCTGCTCTTACGCCGCAAGAGCAGAAAAATAGTTAATAATATATTAACACACAGTTAAACAAGTCAAAAAACAGTTAATAATATATTACACATGTATAAGTAAACGGAATGTATAAATGAATGCACAAACAGAATTTTAACACGTTGATTACATCGAGAATACTCATACGAATAATTTGTAAGCGTAAACAAACTCGTCTCCCGATATGAAATATCCCAAAATTATTACAAATTTTATTTCAAAAAATAAAAATAGCAATAGCAATAATTATAGCAAAAAATATTGCTCTTTAATTTATTTATATTTTTCATTAATTTAATATGACAAGGTTTTTTACAAATGTGCATTTATGCATACAAAAAAGATGCATTTCAAAATTTTAATAAAAATTTGTTAATTAAAAGTCATGTCAAAAAAAATAAAACAAAAGTACTCATACTACTTTTATATACTTGGCAAATGTTTACTTCAAATGAGCGAATTCACGTTTAAAAAAAATTACACGTTTATAATTATAACTTTTTTAATAACTGAAGAAGAAAGAAGAACGGATTTCGTAACAGATTTACATTTTTTATAAGATAACGTTTAAAATCAAACTGAATTAATATATAACAAATAAGTTCGCTGCTACATCCCATATACTATGTGGTCCTACTGTTTTCACTAGTGCTATCCCATAACCTCATGGAGTTGCTGCCATCTGATTTGTTCTAATGTGAAGTTACTTCGACTTTTTTGTAGAGAAGAAAAAGAGTTGAACGGTAGTTGACGATTTCACATTCAATTTGGTTCTTTCTTTCTATTTTTAATTTACGTCGCACTAGAGCTGCGCAATGGGCTATTGGCGACGGTCTGAGAAATATCCCTGAGAATGATCTGGAGACAACATGCATACATCACATCTCTTTTTTCAGATAGGACAAATTCACACAACCTTCAGTCATGAGGTCGTGGGTTCGATCCTCGCCGGCCGAAGACTCCCCGTGTAGTAAATGGTGACTGATGCACGTTAAATCTGTCGAGTCTCAAAGTCCTCCATGTTCCCACAACAAATCAATACCTCTGGGGGTACTGATCCAGGAGTTTCCTTGTCTTCTGGATTGGTTCAAAATTACAAGGCTTCGGAGTTGAACGTAAGTAGTCGTAAACCCATGAAATTGGGTTGGCTGTTCAACGACGGTTATAAAATAAAAAAACCTTCAGTCATGGTTTTTCTCTCCATGTAATGCAAATGCGTTCTAAATTAGTTCTTTCAAAAAGTCCTCCAAGAAGGCAAATTTTTCCACTACTTGATCCCTTGTCTTCTGGATTGGGTTCAGAATTACAAGGCTGCGGAGTTGAACATTAGTAGTCGTAAACTCAAAAAATTGGGTCTGTTGTTCAATGTCGGTTATAAAATATAAAACCCTCAGCCATCCTCATATCATAATTTTGGCCTGAACCAGATGACGATCATTCTCCAATCAAATACCCCCAGTGGTATAGATTTGCGATGGGAAATCGAAGGCTTTCGTGACCCCTACAGATTTAGCATACATCAGTCCCCATTTTGCATACACGAAGTCTTCGCCTTGTGGGATCGAACTCATGACTTCTCATACGCGGTAAAAGTATAGCACACTTACAAGAGTCAGAGTTGAAATTTGGGTTAAGTTTATCGAATTTTCACTATTCGTGATCGCAATGCTCGAATACGAAATCTAGGGAGAAGACCGCTCCCTTTTCTTGACTATCCTCCCTTTCTTCTCCTCCTGTACTCAGTTGTATGGAAATGCACTACGATATTTTCCCATTCTGATATATGTTTTTGAGTGTGATTGTCAAAAATAATTTCCATGCAATTTTCAGTTCGATATAGTTTCCTAACTCAAAAGTTTCTTATTTACTTGAAAATCAAGACAGGAACTATAATACTTCCTGCTCCTATGATTATCCACACGCTAATGGTGAATGCAGGCGAAAAGTTGCCCTAGGCAGAAATTTCTGTTCTGTGCCAAATTCGATATCCAATGTGTGATAACCATTTTAATCGTATTGTGTATGAGTTCTCTTAAAGATTCCAGCAAATCAATGCATATTTAAAAGAAAATCACTAACTAAATTTATTTTTATAGCAAAGGACTTTCCAGCTTGTCAGCGATTTTTAAAATGCAATGATATGATGGCTGAAGATGTAAGTAGATTATTGGCATGAATTTATTTTGCAATAACATTGCACAATTTTAATAGGGGATATTATTAGACATAAATTTTATAAATACAAAGCTGCTAAAGGTACTTTAATTTTAATTTTAATAAGTAAACTACTTATCATTCTAAAATAATTAAAAAGTCTTAGCGTGATGTATGCAAAGTGTTGTTAAAATCATGAGGCAAACTTGGAATGGAGGTTGGCTCATCATAAGAATTAAGAATTGCATAGGAACCCATGACCGAAAATATCATCGTTTTCCGCAAGGGGCGCTTCCCTATTATGAACTGTTTCCACGTGTCCCTTCGAAAAAGTACTTTTATTTATCTAAAGTATCACAGTTTTAATGTTTTGTAATAATTATTTTATTTTATAACCGTCGTTGAACAGCCGACCCAATTTCATGGGTTTACGACTACTTACGTTCAACTCCGTAGCCTTGTAATTTTGAACCAATCCAGAAGACAAGGAAACTCCTGGATCAGTACCCCCAGAGGTATTGATTTGTTTGTAATAATTATTGTCGAAAATTGTATTCAAACATAAGCAGAAATAGCTTTTTTTAAAATCTTAATTTAATGATTAAGTGACTAATTAGGAACGCTCGCCTAATCATTAAATTACAATAAAAAAGCTATTTCTCCGTCTGTTTAAATACAATTTTCGACAATAATTATTAGAAAATATAAAGCTAAAACAAAATTAAGATAATTTAGATAAATGAAAGTAACTCTTCAAAGACAAGTGTAGAAGCAGTTCATAGCAGGGAAGCGCACGTAGCTATGTTTGATGACATTTTCGGTCATGGGTTCCTAGGCAATTTTAAAGTATGATGTTCCCAAATTTCCCTCCAATTTTATCTGCTGATTTTGGAGCCTCCCTGAATATTATCAAATCAAATTTAATTTTCTACTAATATTCATCACTGCATAATTTCTTCTTTTGAATTTTAAATTACATGATTTGCCGCTTCAGGACCATAATCCCATCCATATACGTGATTCTCTTTTCATAGACCAGGGGTGGCCAACCTGCAGCTCGCGAGCCACATGCGGCTCTTTGAAGGATTATTTGTGGCTCTTGATAAATGTACCAGAGTTCCCTTTTCATTTTTGTGTTATTATATTTTAAAAAATTATTATCATTCCGCATGTGTTTCAAAATGTCTTTTAAATTACTGAGAACAAATATGAAAGACTAAGTGCAACATTGTTCAAATCAAGGTGAATTTTCTATTTCCAATGTAATAATGGCACAAAAAGCATTTGTAGACTTAAAATTAATAGAGATGTAAGAAGATCAAGCTCTACAATTAAAATATAAGTCGACGGCGATTACTGAATTTTGGAAATTTGTACCACAATCGAAGTATTCTGAATTAAAAAATGTTGTTTATTGAATTATTTCAATATTCGGAACAACGTACTTATGTGAATCATTTTATTCCACTTTAAACTTCATGAAATCCAAACACCGATCAATATTAACTAACCAGCATCTCAAGGAATTAATGAGAAGAATCAATTATTAACCAAATTTTAAAGAATTATCAAGAGAAGTAAAATAAATGTGTTTAATTTTTAATATTTAAATTCAATACACATATTTTGTACTTTTACTTATATGTTCTCAATAAGTATAATTTATGTAAAAAAAATTGTTTTTAATACCTTTTTTGCATACCTTTTAAATTCGTATTTAATTGCGGCTCGCGAACAATTTCTAATTTTGAAAAATGGCTCAACTATCAAGGAGCTTGGCCATCCCTGTCATAGGCCAAGCTGGTATCGAATATGGAGCGAGTCTTTCTCACTCCAGCTGCCCAAGATCACACGGATGAGATTTCAACGTAGTACTCTCTTAATAACTTTATAACAGAACTTTTATAATAATACGAATTAATATAATTTCAACTAATTTTCAATATTTCTGCAGAAAAGTGCAAAATAAACAAGAATAAACGTTAATAAAAATTGGCAAATGAAGGTTAGAAAATAATCTCTTCCCAAAAAATGTCTGTTCTAAAATTGATCTCGAATAAAGACGATAATAAAACAAATTCTTTAAACACATTTCTTAATTATCTAGTGGTTTTAATAAGTAAATCAAGATTAAACTTCTTGATTGCAGGGTCTTTTTTAGATTTATTTTTCAGTTCTATTTTATATTTAGTTTACTACTCTTTGTTTCAGAGCCGTTTTTTTTCACGGTTTACTTTCTTTAATTCAATAACTTTTCCTACAGTTTAAAATATCCTTAGCTTGAAGTAGTGTAGAGTTTTTAGACTTCATGACTTTGACATTATAAATTAAACTTGCGATTAAATTATTGCTGACTTACCAGGAGTTTTAAAAATTTTCTGTGACTTTAAAAATAAATTAAAATAAATGGATATGAAATAAAAATGAGATGTTATCTGTGACCGTCTTAGAAAATTAAGATATCTTCCCTAATTTTAAATTTAGTCACAAATTCCGTCAATAGATTGTACTGTTGACAGAAAAAACCATCAAACATTGTTTTCTGCTACATAACCAATTATTGAATTTCAATAGTTCCACGGACGTCAGTTGATTTTGTCTCCAGACTGCGCCATTTTGTAGCTGCATATAATGTCCTTGAAAACCTATATTTATAATATTTCTGTTGACTAACTTTGGTAATATTTTGTAAAACTTGTTAATAATAAAAGTTTCATTTTAAGGGCAAAGCAACACCTTGATTTAAAAAAAAAAAATCTATTGGTTTAGGGCTATTCGTATATAGCTTTTATTATGTAAACGGTAATGTTTATCTTTCGTAAATTATATAGTTGAATTCTGGTTGCTGGTTTTTATTCTTATCAGACATTGTTTAAACAGCAACATACATGTTTACTTAGGTAAAAAAGCGATTTGAAGAATGTCAAGAAATGCTTCATGCTCCCGTGGAATGTGAAGAAGGAAAACCATTATTCCCGAATCCAGAACAAAGCGAAGTAAGTTAAACTTTCTAAGGTGTTCAAGGTTTTCTTCAACCCAAATACTTTGTAATAATCAAAATTTCTAGAAACCCTATAAAGTCATATGGTTTTACAGACAAAAATTAATTTTTAATTAGGGCATTACTTTCCAAATGCTATTGGAAAAAATTGTACTGGATATTTTTTCATTAAATCCTTTTGACATTGAATGACATCAGTTAAAAAAATACTAGTATCAAGTCCAGAAAAAAGCAAGTTAATTCAAGAAGAAAAAGGAAAAACAAGTCAAAGATTGGTTATGCTAAGAGTAATCAACTGATTGTTAATAAAGTAAACTCTGTCTAAGACAGAATCTGTATAACTTGAATTTTAGCCCGAAATGGGAATTTTGGAAAATACTTTGATTATGCTATAGTTAATAATATTAACTTAATTTTCACATGCCGGATTCCTCATAGGAATGGAAAAGAAAAGTTAAAGCCCTAGCAGCCCTGTTGTAAATAAAACTAATTGAGTTTGTATAAGCCGGATTTTGCTTAGCATAGAAATTGAAAATAAAAGCTCTGGCATAGTAAAAAACAATAATTTAATTTGTATAAGACGGATTCTACCTTGTATGGACAGTAAAATATAACAGAGTTGGTCTAAGTTTTAAGCAATTCAATAATGTNGATTATTGGGAAAATAATAATACTAAATACTATCAAATCAAAACTCTTTATTTACTATGAAAAAAAAAAGCATTTTGCAATGTCTCAGTTATAAGCGTAATTCAACTTAAAGTAACATGAGTGTGACTTCTGTTGTTGCAGATTAGATGACAAATAACTTATACTAGGTTGTAAGATGTTAGTTTAAACTGACTGTTAAATCTTCTTTTGCTGGTTATTTATTGTTAGCTTGTTTTTTATTCATTAATTGTTTTTTCTGGCATTAATTATTAATTTTTTGTTAATAATTGTTTATTTTTTGTTTGTTTTTTGTGAATTTTAATTTAATTGTTAATATGCTTCATAAGGAACTTTGTGATCAGTGGCGTGCCAGAATAGTGTGTCGCGTGCCATAAATGGCACGCGTGCCATTGGTTCGCCATCCCTGACATATAATATGCGGTAATATAGTTTTCACTAGTGCTATTCCATAACCCCATGGAGATGCTGCCATCTGATTTGTTGTAATGTGAAGTTACTTCGACTTTTTTATAGAAAAGTGAAAGAGTTGAACGGTAGTTGACGATTTCACATTCAATTCGGTTCTTTCTTTCGATTTTTAATTTACGTCGCACTAGAGCTGCACAATTGGCTATTGGCGACTGTCTGGGAAATGTCCCTGAGGATGATCTGGAGACAACATACATAAGCTACATTTCGTTTTTCAGGTAGGACAAATTCACACAACCTTCAGCCATGAGGCCGGGATAGCCTGGTCGGTAGGGCGCTGGGCCCATATCCAAGAGGTCGTGGGTTCGATCCTCGCCGGCCGAAGACTCCCCGTGTAGTAAATGGTGACTGATGCACGTTAAATCTGTCGAGTCTCAAAGTCCTCCATGTTCCCACAACAAATCAATACCTCTGGGGGTACTGATCCAGGAGTTTCCTTGTCTTCTGGATTGGCTCAAAATTACAAGGCTACGGAGTTGAACGTAAGTAGTCGTAAACCCATGAAATTGGGTCGGCTGTTCAATGACGGTTATAAAAATGAAAAAAGCCTTCTGCCAAGGTTTTTCTCTCCATATAATGCAAATGCGCGTTAGTTCCTTCAAAAAGTGCTCCAAGAAGGCAAATTTTTCCACTGCTTGATCCCTTGTTTTCTCGATTGGATTCAGAATTACAAGGCTGTGGAGTTGAACATTTGTAGTCGTAAATCCAAACAATTGGGTCTGTTGTACAATGTCGGTTATAAAATATAAAACCCTCATCCATCCTCATGTCATAATTTTGGCCTGAACCAGAGCACGATCAATCTCCAATCTAATACCCACAAAGGTATTGATTTGATATGGGAAAATGGCGGCTTTCATGACCCCGACAGATTAATCATACATCAATCTCCATTTTGCACACACGAAGTCTTCGGCTTGTGGGATCGAACTCATGATCTCTCATACATGGTAAAAGTATAGCACACTTATAAGAGTCTCGAATACGCCATCTAGAGAGAATACCATCCCCCCTTTCTCCTCCTCCTCCTGTTCTCAGTTGTATGGGAATGCACTACGATATTTTCCCATTCTGATATATGATTTCCCATTCTGTCAAAAATAGTTTCCTTGGAGTTTTCAGTTCCATATATAAAGTTTCCTAACTCAAAAGTTTCTTATTTACTTGAAAATCAAGACAGGAACTATAATACTCCCTCCTCCTATGACTATCCACACGCTAATGGTGAAAGCAGGCGATGTATTGCCATAGGCAGAGATTTCTGTTCTGTGCTTCTTGTACCCCATGTCGATATCCATTGTGCGATAACTATTTTAATCAAAATGTGTATGAGTTCTCATAAAGATTCCAACAAATCAATGCATATTTAAATGAAATTCACTAACAAAATTTATTTTTACAGCAAAGGACTTTCCAGCTTGTCAGCGATTTTTAAAATGCAATGATATGATGGCTGAAGATGTAAGTAGATTATTGGCATGAATTTATTTTACAATAACATTGCACAATTTTAATAGGGGATATTGTTAGACATAAATTTTATAAATACAAAGCTGCTAAAGGTACTTTAATCTTAATTTTAATAAGTAAACTATTCATCATTCTTAAATAATTAAAAAGTCTTAGCGTGATGTATGCAAAGTGATGTTAAAATCGAGAGGCAAACTTGGAATGGAAGTTGGCTCATCATAAGAATTAAGAATTGCATAGGAACCCATGACCGGAAATGTCATCGTTTTCCGCTAGGGGGCTCTTCTCTATTATGAACTGTTTCTACGTGTACCTTCAAAAAAGTACTTTTATTTATCTGAAGTATCACAGTTTTTATGTTTTGTAATAATTATTGTCGAAAATTGTATTCAAACAGAAGCAGAAATATCCCTTTTTATCGTAATTTAATGATTAAGTGACTAATTAGACAAGCTCGCCTAATCTTTAAATTACTATAAAAAAAGCTATTTCTCCGTCTGTTTGAATACAATTTTCGACAATAATTATTAGAAAACATAAAACTAAAACAAAATTAAGATAATTTAGATAAATAAAAGTACCTCTTTAAAGACACGCGTAGAAGCAGTTCATAGCAGGAAAGCTCACCTAGCTATGTTTAATGACATTTTCGGTCATGGGTTCCTAGGCAATTTTAAAGTATGATGTTCCCAAATTTCCCTCCAGTTTTATCTCATGATTTTGGAGCGGCCCTGTATATTATGAAATCAAATTTAATTTTCAACTAATATTCATCACTGCATAATTTCATCTTCTGAATTTTAAATTACATGATTTACCTCTTAAGGACCATGATCCCTGTCTTTTCATAGACCATGGTATTGAATATGGGGTGAGTCTTTCTCACTCCAGCTGCCCAAGATCACATGGATGGGATCTCAACGTGGTACTCTCTTAATAACTTTATAACAGAGCTTTTATAATAATATGAATTAATATAATTTCAACTAATTTTCAATATTTCTCCAGAAATATTTCTCCAAAATAAACAAGAATAAGCGCTAATAAAAATTGGCAAATGAAGGCTAGAAAATAATCTTTTCCCAAAAAATGTCTGTTCCAAAATTGATCTCGAATAAAGACGATAATAAAACAAATTCTTTATACACATTTCTTAATTATCAAGTGGTTTTAATAAGTAAATCAAGATTAAATTTCTTGACTACAGGGTCGTTTTTAGATTTATTTTTCATTTCTATTTTATATTTACTTTACTGCTCTTTATTTCAGAGACGTTTTTGTCATGGTTTACTTTCCTTAATTCAATAACTTGATTTTTCCTACAGTTTAAAATATCCTTAGCTTGAAGAAGTGTAGATTTTTTAGACTTCAGGGCTTTAAAATTAAAAATTAAACTTGCGATTAAATTATTGCTGACAAACCGGGCGTTCCGAAAATTTTCTGTGACTTTAAAAATAAATTAAAGTAAAGGGATATGAAATAAAAATGAGTTGTTATCTGTGACCTGTTTAGAAAATTAAGATTTCGTCCCCAATTTCAAATTTAGTCACAAATTCCGTCAATAGATTGCACTGCTGACAGAAAAAACAATCAAACATTGCTTTCTGCTGCCTAGTCAACTATTGAATATCAATAGTTCCACGGACGTCAGTTGATTTTGTTTCCTGACTGCGCCATTTTATAGCTGCATATGTCCGTGAAAATCTGTATTTATAATATTTCTGTTGAATAACTTTGGTAATAAATTTTAAAATTTGTTAATAATAAAAGTTTCATTTTAAAGGCTAAGCAGCACCTTGATTTTAAAAAAGAAATCTATTGGTTTAGGGCTATTCGTATGAAGCTTTTATTATGTAAACGGTAATGTTTATCTTTTGTAAATTATATAGTTGAATTCTGGTTGCTGGTTTTTATTTTTGTCAGACATTGTTTAAACGTAACATACATGTCCACTTAGGTAAAAAAGCGATTTGAAGAATGTCAAGAAATGCTTCATGCTCCCGTGGAATGTGAAGAAGGAAAGCCATTATTCCCGAATCCAGAACAAAGCGAAGTAAGTTAAACTTTCTAAGGTGTTCAAGGTTTTCTTCAACCCAAATACTTCGTAATAATCAAAATTTCTAGAAACCCTATAAAGTCATATGGCTTTACATACAAAAATTAATTTTTAATTTGGGCATTACTTTCCAAATGCTATTGGGAAAAATTGTACTGGATATTTTTTCATTAAATCCTTTTGACATTGAATGACATCAGTTAAAAAAATACTAGTATCAAGTCTAGAAAAAAGCAAGTTAATTCAAGAAGAAAAAGGAAAAACAAGTCAAAGATTGGTTATGCTAAGAGTAATCAACTGATTGTTAATAAAGTAAACTCTGTCTAAGA